TCTTTTTAAGTGTAACATGTCCAGAGCAAAGAACAAAGAAGCTAGACTTTGGCCTGGTTTAGTTCCCAACTTTTTCTTCAAACTTTCAGCTTTTCCATCACATCGAAACTTTCTTACACACATAAACTTTCAACTTTTTTTAGTCAAACTTCCAATTTTGACATGGAACCTTGATGTATACGTAACTTATCTAGGGTGTGTTTAGTTCACGCTAAAATTAGAAGTTTGGTTGAAATTAAAACAATGTGACGGAAAAGTTGGAGTTTGTGTGTGTAGGAAAGTTTTGATGTGATGAAAAAGTTAGAAGTTTGAAGAAAAAATTTAGAACTAAACTCAGTCTTAGAAATTTCTTTATCTGTTCAATTTCTAAGGAATCAAGATATCATCTCGTTTCGGTAGTTGTACTACCCCATTGTTCCATTGTTGCAGTTAGGGGTGAAAACGGAGTGGATATTATCCGATCCGATCTGCTCCGAATCCGTCCGAAGTGAGGATATGGTAAGAGTTTTTAGATATCCGGCCGGATGCGGATGCGAATGCGGATAGTTGCATGCGGATGCGGATGCGGATATGGTATCGGTAATATCCGACGGACACGGATTATCCGATAAACGTTTTGGCGGATAATCCGAATTTCACACCCCATATAACCACTTAATTTGGCCCATTTGACATGAGCATTTTCATCGTGTAAAGATTCAGCCCATCCAGGTCCACCTTATCCATCAATCTATGCAGGAGTTCAGTCCGTGACTCCGTTGGCGTCGCGTCAACCAATTTTTTCATCGAGACTTCTCTTCTTCCAGTCCTCCCACGCCGCCGCCTGACGCCCTGACTTATGTGTAGAACTTCTATGTCTTACGTGTTATGTGAATGCGATATATCGTGATGTCAATACTGTATGTGTCGATTACATGCTTTTGGACAGAAGACAAGTCAATGTTAACAACTTGACATTATATTATAATGTGATCCGTGCTTTCATGAGTCATGTGAATTATGATATTGGTACCTCATTATTGCTCATTATACAGATGATCAGATGTTATATCGATTGTATATACATATCACATCCAATTATTTTCATTCGTTTTCTAGCCGAGTCCGCACCGACTCCGCAACATTTCCGACATGCGAAATAATCCGCTCCGCATCCGCACATTATCCACACAACCTCTGAATCTGATTAAAAAATATGGTATAGGATATGGTAATACTACTATCCGTCCGAATCCGATCCGTTTTCACCTCCGTTTTCACCCCTAGTTGCAGCGCCGTATCGCTCTTGGCAGGTAACTGGGCTGAACATGGTCCAACTCCAAACGTCTCCACACACACACAAGCCAAAACACCAGCATGGCACGAGCTGGTATAGCCAGGGCAGCCATGCCATATTGCCATGGACGGGGTCGCACGCAGATGCAGATGCAGATGCAGCGCCTGACGAGAAGCAGAGCCCCATCCAGTAGCTTCACGCACAGCGGCTTGTCCCAAGCGGGGAAGAACGCGCGCGGCCGCGGATTCATTCCAGCTTCGAAGGAACGATGTGACGGAAAAATTGAAAGTTTATGTGTGTACTCCCTCTGTCCCATAATGTTACAATCTGGACATGGGATGAGACCCATTCTAGGTTGCAACATTATGGGATGGAGGGAGTAGAGGGATGGGATGAGACACATTCTAGGTTGCAACATTATGGGACGGAGGGAGTAGAAAAGTTTTGATGTGATGGAAAAGTTGAAAGTTTGAAGAAATATTTTGGAAATAAACACGGCTCAAATTTATGTGCGCGTAAGCGCAACTAGTAGGCTGATGTAATGGAAAAAAATTGAAAGTTTGGATCTAAACACAGTAGTAGTACTACCTCTGTCCTAAAATAAGTACAGCCGTAGATATCCGTGTCCAATATTTGACCGTCCGTCTTATTTAAAAAATTTGTGAAAAATTTGAAAATATTTAGCAATAAAAATACTAATCATAAAAAAATTCAAATAAGACGAATGATCAAATATTGAACGTGAATAGTGTAAAACTGTATTTATTTTGGGACGGAGTGATATCTGCTTTTGAGGTAACCGGTCCTAAAAAGACTCTGGCTCCTGGCTCCTGCACTGGCAGTGCAGTGCTGCTGCCCTCAGTCTCAGCACGCCAAAAGATAAAAAAGAAACATCGCATTTGGGAACAATACACTTTGCATTAGCAAAGGGCAAAGGCTCTTATGTGGTTATCAAGTTAGTACTAATTGCACAGCCTTGTAGTTTCTGGTAGTGATAGAGAGATTAGTTATGGATGAACTTGTAATCATGCCATCATGGACTCATGCTGACATTGTAGAGAAAGGCTCTTTTCTACAGGATTTTTTTTTTCTCAGGGTGTTAGGGGTTCATGAGTGGTCGCTATGTTGGTGCTTTCCTTCCTCCCGTAATTGCTGGAAACCTTCTTTCTGGGTAGTAGTTTACATATTCCTGGTGCTCCCTGTTTTTTGTCCGGCATGTTTGGTTTGTCCACCCACGCGACCCAGCAATGCAATCAGAATAGCCTAGCAAACGCTGTTTGATTGTTTTTGCCAACATCTAGGATGGATGGATGGATGGTTTGTTCGCTGCAACTGAGCAAAACAAAAGAAGCCTGAATTTCTTGTGCTCTTGTGCTGGAGTACCATGCTGTGATGGAATCACGTTTACAGGGAACGAATGGATCGGGACTCCAAAGATGGCACATTTTTCAGGTAGAACATGATGAATGAATAGCTCCTCGTGTCAAATTGTTCCGAATTTCTCCATTCGCTTGTGAACCCAGTGTTCGTGTTCCCGAAAAAGATAACTTGGGGGCAGTAACATTTCACCGAACGTGCAGGCATTTCGACGAAGGGGAAAAAGCATTTTGACAAAACAATAGCTTAAGATCCTGATAAATGGCTGCTAAGTAGCCATATGATGATAATCTAGAAAAGGTATTTTCTAGCTTCTGCTTATACTTAATTTCATAGATTCTATAAACTATATGTTTTCAGATATGGATGAGAATCTGAAATGTTTTAGCGTTCCAAAATTTTGAAAAATGTTGTACAATGTCACAAGTTCCCCCAAACATGGGAGATGACCTCCGGTCAGGCGCCCAATCGGGAGGGGATAAAATCGGACGCTGATGTTAGTATGACGTTAGTGTCCGATTTACGTGCAAAATTACTTTAAACTGATTTTTCTCTTAAACTATTTATCCAAATCATGATCCGATTACACCATTAAATTTGTTGCAATTAAATCTTTAAAACAAGACCACACATGGATATATTCTGATGAAAAAATTAGCTTATTATTGAACTATTTTTAAATGTTGCACGATGTTCCACCAGGTATATCGGAATTATTTCACTAAGTAAATCAAAAATGTTTCATTCGTTTAAATCGGGTGTTGTTTCACCTTATATAAAAATAATATTTCAGCAAATAGCGAAATAATATTTCAGTTCACTACAACATTAGATCTATACATAGTGAAAATTTGTGAGTACACTAGGTGAAACATTTTTCGGTGGAACAAAAAATAAACCAAATTCCCTTAATAGGGGGTTTACAAAATATGTGGGTCTTTTTTGTTGCAATGGAATGTTTCGTTCAATGTAGCATTATATCTACATATAGTGAAACATTGTGAATATACTATGTGAAACATTTTTTGTGGAACAAAAAATAAACCAAATTCCCTTAATAGAGAGTTTCTAAAATATGTGGGTTTTTTTTGTTGCAAAAAATTATTTTAATTTACTGCAATATTAAATCTATAAATAGTGAAACATTATAAATACACTAAGTGAAACATCTTTTATGGAAAAAAAAGGAAGAAGTAGGTGGGTCTAACAGGACTCACGTGGGGAGGAGCGCACGGGGGAAGCGCCCGATCTGGCTCCCCCGCGACAAAAGGCACATCAAACACTGAACATAATCGACCAAGAGCCCGTCATGTGTTTGCCTCACCCGTAAGCACAGCATTATCCGTGTCTAAAAAAGACAATTTACCCCATCAATTTATATTCCTTCGTAAACAAAACGGTTTATTAGAGAATAGAAATTTTACATAATTATACTTAACAATTTAAAAGTTAATGCTGACAAAAATTACAGTAAAATTATTTTAAAATTAACTTCAAAACTAAATTTGAAAATCTAAATTTTAGCTTTTGTTTTTGCTTATTAGGCTAACAAATGGGACCAAATTTGGCACCGCGCCAATTCACCGCACGTCCGGACGTGCAGCGCTGCAACAGCAGTGCAACTAGAAGGGGAGAATATGACGAGTAAGAGCAGATAAAATAGCATGCTATAAGCCAGCTATAAATATATTTTAAGAAGATAAATGAGAAGAGAAAAGAGCAGCGGACTATATATTTGTAGCCAGCTGTAGCACGGACTCCAAGACGCAGTGTGTGTATGACAGATGGGACCAGATATTAATAGTGTAGTATGTAACTATTATATGAATGAGCTATTAAATTGGTTATAGATTAATTAGAGTTAGTAGTTGGCTATACTATTAAGGGCCCCTTTGAATCGTAGGAATGAAAAAACAGAGGAATAGGAAAAACACAGGATTCTGACATGAATACAATTGTAAAACAGAGGATTGCAAAACATAGGAAAAACACAGGAATGGCCGTTTGATTGGACCACAGGAAAAACGCAGGAATCAGATGAGAGAGATAGACTCAGAGGAAATGTTCCAAGAGGTTAGACATCTTGCTAACTTTCCTCCAAAATGTGCATAGGATTACCCATTCCATAGGAATTTTAAAGGATTGGATAGGATTCAATCCTTTGTCTCAAAGGCCTTCATAGGATTTTTTTCCATAGGATTGAAATCCTTCAAAATTCCTACATTTTTCCTACAAATCAAAGGGGCCCTAAACTTGCTCCAAAAGCAATGGTTTTCACAGGACAAACGGGAAACGAAGCACACACCCCATCCTCCACAATAAATCCAGACTCCGGACGGCGCAGTCGTCGTCATTCTCCCGAGACGGCCGCATTGGATGCCCATTCTCTCTCTGTCCAAAGAAACTCCAATTCTTCCAGCCAAAAAGAGAGAGAAAAAGTGGGAAAGAAAGAGAAAAGGTTTGGTTTTTGGAGGACCTCTTGGTCTCTCCTCGTCGCTGGGGTTCTTTGTTCTTGTAGTGGTAGTAGCCACTTGCTTGAGTAAAGAAAAAGAGAAAAAAAAAGCATGGTTCTTGCGGCATCATCCTCTTGGTAGCCCTCGTTTAGGCGGCGTTGCTGTCTGTCTGTCTGTGAGAGTGAGGCTTAATCCGTCCAGAAATGAGGAAGCATGGGTGGCAGCTGCCTTACCATCCTCTCCAGGTATGGCCTTCTCTTGGGGTGAAATGCTGTTCTTGCTGTGTCCTTGATGTTCTTGTTTCTTGTGTGCTTTGCTCATGATGTTGCTTTGGTTGCTGCGCAGGTGGTGGCGATAGCGGTGTTCTTGGCATTGGGATTTGCCTTCTACGTCTTCTTCGTGCCGTTCGTGGGGAGGAAGGCGTTCCAGTATGTAGCTATGGTTCTCTACACTCCCCTGGTGAGGGTTACTCTCCTTCTCGAGGCGATTGGATTAGCTAGCAAGAACAGATCTAGCGCCCTTCCTTTTCTTTTCACTTGTTGCCATCTCATTGAGGATTGAGACAGTGCACATTAGCCATTGCGCTGTCTGTAGATAAGAGAAATGTAAGATGTTTTGCGTGTTCGCAGATATGTATTGTAAAACAATGATGTGAGGGAGATTTAGAGAAGGATGTACAAGAAGTATTTCTGCACCTAGTGATAGTGATACCCATTTTTGAAGTGTATGCCAGCTTAATATGTTTTGATAGCATTGTTGTCGAAGCAAGTTGAGAGGTTAAATCTTGACGGTGTGTAAAGCTGTCGCGAGTCGCAGAGTTCGCACCAGCATTTTGAGCACAACCTTCATAAATTGACCTTTCCCAATTTCGCATGAACTTCTCAGTAACAGGGTTCTACTGTACCGGGTAGTGATAGAGCAATTTTCTGTTGAGTAATGCATAACTTCTCATTGCAGATTACATCTGTTGTCGTGTTATACATTTGGTGTGCTGCTACAAATCCTGGTGACCCTGGCATTTTCAAGTCGGCAGAGCATCCAAAATTGAAGGATGGAAGGCGATCCCAGAAAAATTCAGATCATGGGTTAAGTCAAGGAGGAAAGATGTCAAGTGATGGTTTTAATGCTGTAGATAACAGCGAGAAATTGAGCAGCATGCTTGAGCAAAATGATTCACATTCCTGGCCCACATTTTCTGAAATACTTTGTTTCCCCTTTTCCTGCCTTTGCAAAAGATGCTTCCATGCGGATAATCAGTCATCTGAACAGCACATGAGTGAAGAAGGAATGTTCTTCTGCAGCTTGTGTGAAGCAGAGGTATGATTAACTGATGTTCAATTTTTTTCTTCTTCTGATTGTGATTCCTAAGGTTGTACTGGCCACACGCTCCAATTCCTTAAGTTGCACTGGCGTCTTTTAAGGTTGTGTCATACTGTCAGTACTTCAGATTGTAGTGTGACATGTGCCGGTAAATCTAAACTAGTATGAGTGTCAGAATAATCATGTAATTTAGAAGCAACTGTGATTAACTAGATTGCGTTCAGACAAGAATCAGGATTATTATTAGTCTGAATCATATATTCATGTGATTCCAGATTACAAATGATTGTCCATGTGTTGTGCATATGCTTACTTCCAAATTATTCATACTAGCACCGTCTGGATCTACATGTTTTATAGTTATGTGTTGAAAAGTATGAAACATCCTGGTGCAAGTTTTTTAAATGCCGAATGCTGATGAATTTGGACTGTACAAACATTTGATGGTACCTTCAGTGATTGCACTATCTTAGGGTATCAACATGTTGCTAAGACACTGTATGTAATATGCAGGTCCTGAAGAACAGTAAGCATTGCAGAGTATGTGACAAGTGTGTTGATGGCTTTGATCACCATTGCAGAGTACGATACACTTCTTTTGTCTTTCCTAACGGTTATACCCTCAGTCCTCTTAACAATGTAATGTATTTATATTTTCTAATTACATTGTCCTCTTGTAGTGGCTCAACAATTGCATAGGGAAAAGGAACTACAAAGGTTTCTTCCTTCTAATGACTTCTGCTGTACTCCTTGTAAGTGGACATTCCTCGATGGGCTTACAAGGATGGGTCTTTGAATAATACCATAGCTATGAAAGTTAACCTTGCAATAGTGCTTGCATAATTATATTGGCCCTTATTTGAGCTGAAACCATCATGTAATTAAGTGGCTACTGCATGCAGTTATCATTCTTTTCTTTTCCATGCACCTGTTATTCTGGTTGATTATTGACAGGTTTCCATGGTTTGTACACCTTGGGCCAGCTTGTAATGCAGTGGCTGTCAGGAGCCCTTGTGCTGATTCTCTGCATTGTGGATCGAGGGGAGTTCTCCAGACAGATTGTCTCCAAGTTAGGAAGTAGCTTCTCAACTGTAGTGTTTATAATTGTTGTGGTGAGTTTTGATAGAAATTTTCCTTTATAATGTGTGATGGCTGCACAAAAGCACTACAAGAAATTTACTGGCTACATTTCTTATTTTCTATCATGATCCTACTAGAGAAAATTTACAATGCCAATATGATTTGACCTTTGCAGGCCACCTGTACCGTACTAGCAATGATTGCAACTATACCACTTGCTCAGCTTTTGTGTTTCCATATTCTTCTTATCAAGAAGGCAAGTTTTCTTTTAGCTTTTTTTTTTATGTTGTGAATATCACATAGATATGGGTTAATGGGGCTTGCAATTTAATTCTTTCTCCATATCATTTTCTTTTATTAAACTGCTCCAAAAAGTGGTACAGCCACCATTGTTATAATGGAACTTGAGTTTCCATTTCCTTCCATCTGTCGCAAACTATCACATAGTTCATCTATGTGCATCTAAACTTTATTTTCCTCTTCCCTGTATAACTGTAAATTAAATTACTGTCATGTTTTTATATTTATTTAGGGAATTAGTACGTATGATTACATCATAGCTTTAAGAGAGCAAGAGGAGGATCAACAAGAAGAGACTGCTGGGCACCAAAGTCCGCAGATGTCTATTATTAGCTCTGTTACTGGATTTAGCACTGCAAGTTCTTTTGGTCCACTTCATCGTGGTTCATGGTGCACTCCACCACGATTGTTCCTTGAAGATCAGGTATGTGATTTCGCAGTGCCATTGGCTCACTAGTGTCAAGAGTCAGATATAATGAGAGGAGAGGACTCATCTTGGAATTGCCCATATACGCATAAAACCATATATATATATAGCTAAATATGATGAAACCTGACCCATGTCACATGGTAAGATGCTTTGCATCATGATTAATTTCCAATGGAGTGTGTCATGTTGCATTGTCTGTAAGATGGATAATGAATTTATTATTCGTTTATGCTTTCACTGGTCAAATTTGTTCAGGCACCTGGATTTTCATTGTCAAATTATTAGTTATCTATAGTAATTTTTTTTGGTTTGTTGCAAGTATTTCAACCACCTTGGCCTGTTACCAACATTACCCAAATTCGGTAGCTTTACCCCGACTAATAAAAAGACCCCCAACAATCCTAATAAAATTTCAGATACAGTTTAACTCCTTATCAGAGACTTCTTTATGCTTAATGGTTATTCTGTTCTTGCACAGTTTGATGTCATCCCTCCAGAGATTGGCATGCTGCAGAACTCTGGGAGTAAGAAAACAAAGGAAGATGAAGGAGCAAGGCGAAGAACTGGGACAGTAAAAATCAGTCCTTGGACACTGGCACGCCTTAATGCAGAGGAAGTGTCAAGGGCAGCTGCACAGGCAAAGAAGAAATCCAAAATTCTGAAGCCAATTGCAAGACACGATGTTCCAATCGGCCATGACATAAACATTGGTGGTAAACTAGTTCCCAAGGCTGACAACAACAGAAGACCTGATAAAAGGGGACGATTCCCAGCCGAACTTTCCCTCGACCCCCTTACAAGACTATCTGCAAGTGGTACTGAAAGCAACGTCAGTGACACAGCAATAGAAACATCTGGGAATCTAGCCCCATTGCAGTTCGAAGCGAGGAGCGCATTCCAACCGAGTGCTGCGGCATCCACAAGAAATGCCGCCTCATCCCCAGAAAGCAGCTTCGACTCGCCTGATCTTCACCCGTTCCGCCTTTCCTCGTGCACAGCTGATGAGATGCAGGGAGCGATCCCGCATCCAGCTCAGAGTGGTATCAAGTTTTCGAGATCGACAAGCGATGGGTATGAAGCATCAGGAGGCGAGGACAGCGATCGCATCCCGTCGAGAATTGTTCACAGATCGTCGAACTGGGCCAACGCCATCTTGAGCTCAGGTCAGGGAGGAGGCCCTGCAGCTGATCCCAACATGCCATCATCTGAAGGGTAACTCTACCACCGGCCAGAAGGTCGAGCTAGTCAGATATGACTTGATTCCAGGCCATATGAGCTGCATGGTGCTGGCTCCTGGAGAATGCAGTATACAGCAGAGCAATGATGTTGGCAACACATTGGTGGTTAGTTTAGAGTTTAGGAGTAGCTTTGCTGGTGATTGGTGCCAAGTTCGTTTCATGTTAAATTAAAGCATGCGAAACTGCAATTCTGTTGCTTAGTTTTTGGCTGTCAGGCATTCTCTTGTGTCCCAGCAAATGTGAACCTGAGATTCGTTGCGCTCATTTGAGATCAGTACAGCATTCTGTCCGTTTAATGGCCTTTTGCAGGGATCTCCCTCATATGCTTTATGTTAATTATAAGGTTGAACAACCCAGAGTGCTCTTGCATCACAGTCCCAATAACTAATCTCGTAGTGCTACAAAAATAAATGTTCGCAAACCACAACTGTACAATTGCAGCAAACCATGGACCCAAATATTACGAACAATTAATTTCAATTGCAGCAAATTTACTTTCTTCAAGCTATCAAATGAACATAAGTTGGGATAATTGCATCAAATTTACTTCTTCCAAGCTATCAAGTGCGCATAAGTTGCGACAATACGCTCAAGCATAAGCCGACAAGGCTGGAATATCTATATCTGCGACTGCCAGGCACTGTTACAAAACGATAAAGGGTATGTAAAATCTATTTTAGTTTTCAATAGCGATCCTCTACTGCTACCTTGTCCCAACATGCGGGGCTTGCTTCAGAAGTTTCTCCAATGATCCAATCCATTTCATTGTAGAATTTGCATGTCTTTGGCCAAACGATTCAGTGGAGGTCCAGGGTTGTAATTTACAAAAGAACAAACCTACCAGCAAGTAAACATTTAGAGAAAAAGGATTACACATTGGGAGAACCACTTGCTGTTGTAACCCCCCAAAACCTTCAGTTGCTACATCATAAGAAACATAGCTGTGCTACACTGGAACCCGTTTTCCTCTGTAGCGGTCAAGGAACTGCAGATAAGGGAATTGAGAACAGTTAGAATAGGCAACAGACAAGCCACATGTCTCCCAGCAACAAAAGGATATTGTTCTGCCTGAAGTTCATACCGATGTGACAAATGGTTGTTGAAATATCCAACCAATAATAGGAATCCTTTGCAAGAAAACCACAAGAGTTGGCCAGAATCCACTGAAATAAAATCCAAGTTAGTGTCCATGACAAGCATGGGCAAACCTTTTGCACAAGAAACACACTGATTTTGCACATAATCATAAACAAAGTACTGAATACATTTTTTAGGGTTTGTCTCTTAACAATTTTCAATGTCAGGTTGCTCAAGAATGGTATGATGGAAAAAAGAAATCTGACCTGAAGAGTACAACAAAGCCATATGCCTCTAAAAGCATGCCGAAGAAGGGCCACCCAATGAGAACCAGGAAAAAGCCAGCACCAAATGAGATGGTACCCTGTTCATTACATCATCTAATAATTAGATAATACAAAGTTTGATGGATCACAGCCATTGTGAAGTTAGCAGTTGTCAAACCTTGTAATTCTTAGGCTTGGTGAAGAATTGCATGGTTGATTTCAGACCAATTGTCAAACCCAAACCTGACAGGAAGAGAATCTGAAATAGTGCAGAAGAAGTGACCATATGCACATTCAGTTTGACTCAGATCCACAAAATTCAAGGGAAAATACAGAAGAAAAGATAATTACATTGCCCATTGCAATAAGCCCCTTGTCAAAGAAGAAAATGATTCCCAGGAATGAGAAGAATACTCCAAAGCCTGTCAAGCCTAGCCCAATCTCTGGTGAAGATAAAACACAGAAGTCACAGATCATTGAAATATTGATGGAATAAGAAGTCAGCACTACCATTGTTTCTGTAACGTTCCAGGCTTAGCTCACACCAAATCTTAGACTTTTGTCTTCAGTTTGACTAGAAGGTTTGCTAAATTGACCTTGTTTGGTCCTAGAGGTTTACATACTGTGCAAGCTCAATATAAAGTATTGAAATGCTAGGTTATGGTCAGGGTACACCATATGCTATCTAACAAAGCATCGATGTATCTACATAAATGTTTCATCCTTCTACGCCAACCAGCATTATATGATAAAAAATAGTACACAATAAACCCCCGCCCAGCACAAATCTTTCCACATGCATGATGATTAGCCAACATCATAGCACTTCTATCAGTTGGTGGCGTCATTGGAATTTCATATATGTGAAGGCCAGAAAGAAGCAGAGATAGACCACACAAAATAAATCAATTCAAACTTCATAAACTAGCAAATATAAGCGGTGCTCCATGAGAAGTAACTCCTACAATGCAATTTGAAAATGAACGGGGCCAGGTCCATACTCTTGAGGTCATTCATCTCGAAGGAAACCATATTGTTGAGCAAAGAGTAGCAACCACACCAGTGAAGAGCAGAACAAAAACCTGCAACAGCAGAAAGTGAAACAGTTAGGTGCAATTGTTGCAAATAAAACAGGGCAAACTGCAATAGTTTAATATAGCTCTAGAAGAGCACCGATCCCTGAGTCGATAGGCATACAAGATGACATGTTTCGATGAAAGACACCCCTAATCGCCACTCTTTTTTCTTTACTTTAGGCACGCAGCGCTGTTCTAAATCTAGCAACGGAATGGTGTTTGCGACATCGTATTATACTATCAACAATTAGCACAATGGTACCAAGAGCTTAAGAGAACATCGAGCCACATCGAGGCACAACTCTTCCCGGAAATTTTGCCACTGAAAACCTATCGTAAACGATGATCTAAGAACCCTCCTCCTGCGAATGCTGTGGCCTCCTAAATCAAACCGAGGAGTCGAGATCTAGAACCTCCGCACAACAATTCCGCCCCTGAACAGCGGCTCGCGCCTTACCCTCCCGCGGCCGAATCGCGGGCACCGACATCCATTCCCCAACCCACCGGATCGAGCCCCGGCGGAGGCTGATCCACCCCAGGCGTGGACACGGCCAACGAGGATGAGGAGAAGAAGGGGACTAACCGTGCTACTGGGGACGGGCGGCGATGCGAGCCCGCGGCGGCGGAGGCGGCGACGGCGAAGAGGAGGGGAGCGCGCCCGTGGTAGCGTAGCGGCGTTTTCGGTCGTTGCGGTCTGCGGGGAAGAAAGAAGTTTCACAGGATACGGGGCCCTTTGCTCCCGATTAGGATCCTCTGCCTTCACACCGTGAAGGCATCAGCGTGCAGTCAAGTAATATCCACCGTCCAAGATAATCCAACGGCTCAGTGCACACCCACTCAATAGTTGATGAAACCAATTTTGCTATATATTTTTCGATTACAGTACAATCGTAGTATAATTACACTATAATTTGCATGTAATAACACTGTAACAATAATGTACTCCCTCCATTCTAAATTGATCTACATATAATTTTTTTTTTGAGATTATTCCTAAATGATCTACTTCCTCCGGTTCATATTATAAGACTTTCTAGCATTGCCCATATTCATATATATGTTAATGAATCTAGACATATATGTGTGCCTAGATTCATTAGCATCTATATGAATATGGGCAATGCTAGAAAGTCTTATAACCTGAAACGGAAGTAGTACATATTTGTGTTCTTTCATTAAGTCTATTCGTTATTTGTGCATTGGAGTAAATGGACATTAATGCATGCATCCATGCACATAAGTATTTATAACCTACATGCAATATCTTGATTTGCTATTGGCTAGAAAATAGTGGAGATGATGTATGCATCAAGTTTGTTGCTAGAGTAAATATAGTATGAGAGAGTTATTAGCTTTTCTTGGTCTTGGTGTACCTATGAAATATGTAGATCAATTTAGAATGGAGGGAGTAACTTGTATGTGTTAACGACCAAATTTGGTAATATCAGTATCGGAAAAGAGGATTAGATCGAAGTGGGGCGGAGATCGATTCGAGAATAGAGCAAGAATCGACTAGAGTCCGGATCGGCTACGATCAGGATCGGTTGGGTCCGAGTCAGACTGGGTAAGCCGATACAGCTAATTCCAACAATATGACTTGGTGTACAACATTGGGTTGAGTTGATATGCTTCAAGATAATTGGCGCACATGGATAGAGTCCTGAGAAGGCAATTGTATCTATTAATTAGGATATTTTGTGTAAATTCCTTAGAGATATGTTTGGACAAAAGTCTGCCGCAAAGACTTATGGTATCTTAGAGTTTGTTAGAGATAAGAATCGTGTTCGATATGGACGTAGTTTGTAATTTTCGGGTATAAATAGACCCCGAACCCCATGTAATCAATTAACACACACGTTCAATACAATTTCGGTGCATCGCCACTCTTTTGCTTTAGTTTTATTTCAACGAGTTCTTGCTTTCGGGTTGAGCTGCATCGGTTTCGATCTTCAACAAGAGGTAAAACTTGTTATGACGGCTTGCGTTCTTGGGATTAGTGCTTCCATCTTTATGATACTCTAATCTTGTTTATGTAATTCGTCAAGTTATCATATATCTCATACAATCTCTGGCAATATCGCTATCTAATCTACAATCGGCTAACTTTTGTTAGTGGAGGGCAGCCGATTAGGTTAGATTTCGACGTTGATTTAGATTATATAAGATATCTACCGCTCTATGAAACCTCCAGCGGCTTGATTGTCTAGATATTGTTCTTCTTTTTATACTTAATGCTGCATCAGTTGAGTTTGATCTATTAAGTCGTGCTTAGAATATCAATCTCTAGCCTGCCTTCTGGTTGCCGATTAGGGTAGCATTGGAGTTTCAGCCGATCTTATCTGATTTAACTATATTTGCTCTATATGCTTCATTGACATGTTAAGTCCGCCCTTTATGTTAAGATCTTATTGCACTTAAGTATATTAGGCTTTTGTTTAATATATTATACCTGTTTTAATATCCTGATATAGAGTAGTATCGGAGTATTAGCCGATACATGCTAGATCTATCTAATTGGCTATGCAATAAACATATATAGTCCTGTTATTAATATATATTTCGATCTAAGTGATTTAAACTGTCTCGGCATGGCGACCGATCTATCCCAATCACTTGATTTAAGTATATATCGATATAAGAACTATATATTGGTAATATGTACAGCCGATCGAGTAGATTTAGTTATTTATTATCTATTTATAACCGCCGATCGATTCACATATGACATCGGCTCAAAGATAAATGATATGTCATCGGCACGTAACCGATCGGCTATCGTTTATAGGTTTAACCGCGATGTCTTTGTCTCTATTTCTTGTTGATCGCAGGATCAAATCAACTGGCACGCTAACACACCTGAAGGCGAGCTTTGGACCTGCACTAGAGTTAAGCAGATCTCCTAGGCCTCGTGTTTTTCATCAACAGTATGTAACTTTCAAAAATCTCTCCGTAACATGTTATTCGTGGAAATAAATCCTTTCACATATGTATGTACTGCGATTTTTTTCTTCCTTACCAGAACAAATCTTGTAATAGATTTAACGATTTAAAATTACGTGAAACTTATATACAAGTTACATATTAGTTACATGCAAGTTACAGTGTAATTACATACATGTTACAGTATAATTACACTATAATTGTACTGTAATTACATCTATTGAATTTTTAGAAGAAAATTTATCGATAAATGTATAGGTGATGAAACTAGTTAATTTAGCCGACGAAACATGGTCATCAGAGCCCACAGAAGCCCAACAACTAGTAGCACCGCCCGCCGCGGCGGTCGGTACGCGTCGCCGCCATCCGTGGTTTAATTCCTGCCGCCGCCTTGGGCTTAGCATAATGGATGCAACAATTAGCAATGATTCAACATGCTTGTTGTCTGGGATTTGGAACATTATTGCAATTACAATGAGCATAGCAAGGCATGTATTCCATTTGACCATGCAGCAACCAAAGCATGCATTCCATCAGGAAATTCATGAGTTTCAGTTAACATCATTCGCTGCAAAGTATGACGGAGTTTCAAGCTACATCATAAATCAAAAGATATTGTGATTAGTGCATAGGATCTGACTGACAACAACAAAAGCAATGCACTGGAATAGATGAGAAAATGAACAATATGCCACTCTATACCTAGGGTTTCGATGAAATGCCACTCAATAAAATGCACCAGATAAAATGTCACTCAGTACGTTGCCTACCGGATGAGATGCCACTTCGAAGAGTTTTAACCATTTTTATGCCCGAAATGCCCTTGGCTATGGCCGTGGAGAGAGAGAGAGGGAGAGGGGAGCGCCGGGGGAGGACCGGGTGGACGGCGCGGCGGCACCGGAGGCCTCACCGGGAGGAGGTGGCGGCGAAGGTGGCAGCTAGGACGATGGGGCAAAGGGAGGAGGAGGCGATGACGAGGACGAGTTCACCGTGACAGAGGTGGAGATGGACTCGTTGTCCCCGCCGTCGCCCGGCCGCTGCTACTTGTCTCCCGGTCCTCCTCCCCCGTGCCACTTCCTCTTCCTCCCCTCCCCTTCCCCGCCGTCGCCGCCTGCCGGCGAACGCGCGGGCAAGCACACTCATCGCTCGCCGTCCCGTCCTCCTCCCGCATCGTCGCCTCTTCCTCCGCCCCGTCGTCCCGACCGCTGCTCGCCACCTTGTCCTCCTTCCCCTGGGTCTTTGAGGTGTGGGACGACATGGGTCGTAGCTGGGTCGGTTGACCCACCCTGCCTAATGGGTAGATCCGCCTGTGCCTGTCTCAGACCACATGTCGGGTCCCAAAACTAATTACTTCGATCCGACTAAGATTAATGTATCAATCCCTGGATCAGTAAATATTGATACATACAATATAGTTGGTTCTTCATTGCATACGTTAAAGTTTTACAATACTAAGGTTTTACAGTAATAGATACTCACCTAATTAAACATAGGTAAGACTATTATACAGCGGAAGTTCTTATACATTCTGACTAGGGAGGTATAACCTCTAGGGATTTTCTAAGTTATCGGGGTCATCGTAGTAATAATTATAGGGGTCCACCTCTTGACCCAAATCTGAAAATGGGGTTATAAGAGCAAGGGTGAGTATTTACAATACCCAGCAAGTTACCATGGGAATATGTTATGCATTAGCATATAGTATGGTTCTTTGTAAAAGACAATAATAAACAATCTGGAGGAATTGCAGCAAGAATTTATAGATATGTAGACTTTAAATTTCTAACCAGGGTACCATATGAGTCACGGTACTCAATTCCATGAGTACGGCTATTCGAATAGTTTCAAAGATATTCTACTGCAGCAGATGTACGCTTTACCCGCAGTCCACGACTTGCTGATAATCATCGGCTTTAGTCATGGCCCAGTATTAGGTTTTTAACAATTGTGGCACCTGTTCCATGAACTTATATCCTCATATGCTCTGAACGTAATGTTAACAGCAGCAAGAGGAGCTCTGGCGTTCCCGAGGTATTTAAGGGGAACTGATCGTATGACACCACGTCATCTCGATCAGGGTTTAGAATTACCATTATAATTTATACTCGAGTATCACAAACCATTTACTTGTACATGGTAATGGTAAAATTTTGCCCTTCGCAGCTATAGTTGCCTCCTGCTCAAGGATTTAAAAATAAGAACCATTATACAGAGGTACCACATTGCTAAGTAACATAATAACTAGGTCTGTCCCCATTCTAGAAACTGCGGTCGTACCTATTCGTTCGACATAAGTACCTGGTAATAACTATATCGATCGAGACAGTACTAGCCACCCGGAAATCATCCAATTCCTATGTACTATCCCAATCTAAGTATAAAATATTTTAACCAGATTGTAAGCAAAATAAGCAATACTAAATTATCTGGGTTTCTATGGTTGAATTGTGCATATAAAATAGAGTATTGAATAGAAGGCTATAAATAAATAATTTGTAAAATATAGGCTTAAATGATCAAAAGGTAGATAGTAACTTGCCTTGCTCGATGTCCTGAGATTGATTGATATTATCTAGTGTGTCAGAAGAATCCTCAAGACCTAGGGTTAGACATATAAAATTCAGATTCAAAAGAGATTCAAATAAAATCCAAAAATAAGAGAAATAGGGAAAATAAAATAAAATAGAAAAATAGAAAAAAGGGGTCCCAAAAGATAGAGAATGATTTTAGAAGAATTTTGGTCCAAGTTTCACTGGAATTGGATCTATATTTTAAAAGATATGGGCTTCTAAAGTTTGAAAATCAAATAAATGTGAAATGGCACTGTGTGTGGGTCCCACCTGTCAGTCTCTCTCTCTCTTCTCTTCTTCAACCTCCAGCCGTTCCCCATTACGGCCGGCGGCGCTAGGGTTTAAGATTGCGGCGGCGATAGAGGAGGAAAGGGGTTGCAGCCAAGGAGGGGAGGTAGCTAGGGTTCTCCGGTGACGGCGAGCGGCGGCGGAGGGGTTAATTTGGTATGTGGGTGGGCTAGCGGCTAGGGCGGCGGTGACATGGTTAGGCCGTGAAGGTGATCGGGGTAGTGAGAGTTAGACATGGCTCGGGGAGGGGTCCTAGAGCATCTACGAGGTACCTAGAAGGGTTTAGGCAGTTTGCCGACCCTTGGCAAGGCGTAGAGAATACTTGCCGATGAGCGTCTCCATTGGCGCCTAGAGGGTGGCTTGGTAGTGCAAACCGATTGTAAAAATGGACTCTAGGGAGTATGTAGATGGTTAAAACGGAAGAACTCACCGAGATCAATTGAAACGACGGATTGCGGCTGGAAAAACTTTGCGGCGGCGAAGAACAGAGCAGAGCAGGGGCGACGGTGCTCGGCTCGGTGCGATGAGGTAAAGCTCGACGTAGGGCTTCGGTTAGGGTCCAATATGCTAGAACATGGTTGATATAAGGTGTTCTAAGGGTTATTTAGGGCGGAGGATGGATGGAGGGGCGTGGAGTCGATCGCGCACAAGGTGTTCGACCGACGGGCGAGAGTGGTTGATGGAATGGATTGGTGAAGCAGAGCTTCGGGGTTGTGGGGCTATGATTGTTGATGATCGATGATGGACAAGGAAGGGATTGGGGTCCTATTTATAGGGCTAGGGGGAATGGATGAGCTCAGACGCCATCATCGTCATGGATGAGCTCGGGAATTGAATGTGGCAAAGGTGGCAAAGGGCTGTGAGAGGGCGAGCGAGATCAAATTGAGTGGCGGGAGGCCACGTTCGAATACTTACCGGTGAAGGATTGGCTTGACCGTGGATAGAATCGGCTGGCGACGTGTTAGCGCCAATCCGGGTGCGACGCACGGTGGCGGTAAGAGTTAAATCGGTCAGCACGGCGGTGGTTGGTTTGAATTGTGAGAGGGGAAACCACCGTCTAACTTTAATCCAACCGTGCGGCAAGAATTGGCGCGATTTACCCCGGGTAGAATCAAAATCGGACTCGGCGGCGGCTTTGGACGGGCGCGCACGGCGTCGAGCGGCGATTCGTTGCGGCGGAGGTTGTCCCGGCTTTGTCGTTGTCATGATTGGTGTGGCGGTGACGGCCTGAGGGCGTCGATCGGCTAGCGGCGCGCCAAGGTGGTCGGGCACACGCGAGCGATCCCGAGGCCAATGCACGACGGCTCGGCGCGCGGCTAAGTCGGACGCCAGGCAGCGCGCGTGAAGGGGAGGAAAAGGCAAAGTGAACCACGGTTTTGAGTGGATTGTGGTCCTCAAGGATCAAACCTAAACTTTGTGCAAGATTGGATGGGTGTTGGGCTGCTATAGCTGGGCTGGGCATTTCATCGAACACCTTATGTGCAATGAATAGTGTTTTCATGAATTTTTGAATATTTCCGTAGAAAATAATGAATTTAATCTATGAATTTGAAATGATTTCACTAGGGTTTGGAGTATAGCAAATCCTTACTAATAATAGAGTACACTAAGGAAATAATCTAAAGTTTGAAGTTTAAGAGAATTTGCTCAAAGTCACTAAAGTTTGGAATAAAGGGAATAATTAGGGTAAATTAATAGGGTTCTAAAGAAGTAACACTTGAACCAATTAAGAATCAAATAAATTTTTAAAGCACACTAGTCTAATTAAAAGCCAGCATGATGCAGTAAAATTTGAGGATGTTACACCACAACACCGCGAGTTCGCCTACGTCTCTCCCGTGCCAATGTTGTCGTGTCACGGGGCTGCGACAACTTCAACCATTTCACGCTAACGCACCATGACACCGTGCATCTCACGTCCTCGTCGCGTGAGACCGCGCTCGAACTCGTCAACTTGTCACACCGTTGTTATTTTCACGCAATGGTTCAGGGATATCGTGTCATTTTCGCACTTTCAGTCAACTATGATGGTATATTTGTGCCAGAAAAATACATATCAGATAATTTTTGAGAAAAAAAGACCCTGTTTAGATCTCACCATAAAATTTTTTACCCCATCGCAACGTTTGAACACATGCATGAAGTATTAAATATATGTTAAAAAATAACTAATTGCATAGATTGCGACTAATTTGTGAGACGAATCTTTTAAGACTAATTGCTCCATGATTTGACAATGTGGTGCTACAGTAAACATTTGCTAATGACATATTAATTAGGCTTGATTCTGTAATTAGTATTTTTATTAGTGTCCGAACCCCTAATAAGATACCATATATAATATCGAAATGAAAAAACTTTATACTTTGATCTAAACACCTACTAAATCAACTTTATAGGTTTCGAAGTGCACGCCTCACCAATCACCATATCACCCGCGTATTGAATTGCTTCCCTGTAGCAGGCAAAAGCAAAAGTAAAAGCAGCTGGACTGCTGGTTGCGTGTGGCTGTGTGTGTCCTGCTACCCTGCCGCGCCCACCCTTTGTTATTTGATTATCTTAGCTACAACAACACCTAATATTCAATGATATATGATCTATCTTAATATCTAAATTTTTTTAAATAAGACAAATGATGAAACAGTATAAATAAAAAAGTCAAAATTAATTATATTATGAAACGGAGGGAAGTAGTAAACATTGGTGATGCCGTAATATGTTTGCCTGTGTGGTGCAACTACTTTACAAGCTAGTACTTGTAGCTACTCTTTCCGTCCCACGATATAAGGGATTTTGAGTTTTTATTTATAACGTTTGACCACTCGTCTTATTCAATTTTTTTTTAAAAAATATAAAAAACGAAAAGTTATGCTTAAAGTACTGTGGATGATAAAGTAAATCATAAATAAAATAAATAATAATTTCAAAAAATTTTAAATATGATGAATGGTAAAATGTTGCAAGCAAAAACTTAAAATCTCTATGACGGAGGAAGTACTGTGAATTCGTAGCTAGCGCCTAGGATAGCGCCCAGAGCCTCAGAGCCAGGCATCATATCGCTCGCTTAGACCATCCAAAATGAGCTATGAAAGCGGTGAATAAGCAATAAATGGTCACTTACTATCGGTAGTAGCCATTATGAAAGGAGGTAAGTTCGACCATCTCCTTCATTTTCTACGCGCACGCTTTTTAAACTGTTAAACAGTGTATTTTTTTAAAGTTTCTATATGAAAATTACTTAATAAATCAAATTAATCCATTTATTTTTAAAAAATAGCTAATACTTAATTAATCATACAATAATACATGCTTCGTTTTGCGTGCCGGGAGGAGGGGTTCCAACGCAGCCTAGGCATTTGTGCTACTATCGGATGTGAAGGAGTAAAATACAATAGTTGTTCAGAGTTTTTAGACAACTGCAAGTCATTATGAGAGAAGTTGGAATGGTATTTTTTTTCCCATCTTAATACCCCTCATCTATCCATATGCATTGTGGTGCTTGATTTAACTATTACCAACTGACAAATGGTCTCACGCTAACGCTCACTTCGGTATTACTCCCTCTGTCTCATTTTAGGTGTAACCATGGTTTTTCGCGTCCAACTTTGACAGTCCGTTTTATTTGAAAATTTTTAAAAAAAATTTAGGAACATAAATCACGAGTAAAGTACTATTCATATTTTATCATGTCATAACAATAAAAATATTAATTATTAAAATTTTTTAAATAAGACACTTAAAATAGGACGGGAGAGAGAGGGAGTATTACCTTGCTGTTGCCCTTACAGAGAGAAGCAGCGTGGAGAGGGGAGGGCCGGCCGGGCAGCAGCACACTGGTAGCCTGGTAGCAGCTCCCCTCAGTTCTTTCTCCACCTCAGTGACTCCCGCCGCCGCCGGGGGAGCAAAGGGCCGTACGAGCGCGGCGGCGACGGGGAGGGGGACGGAAGCGCTCGCGCCCATCGCCGCAGCGACGTGGACCAAGCCAAGGGCCGCAGGGAAGCAAAATTAGGCTGCACGTTGAGCAGTGCTAGCTTGTAGCCGCAACCAAGGGCTGCACGGACGCGCGGCGGCGACGGAGGCAAAGGCAGGCTCCACGTTGAGCAGTGGCTGCCTGTGCTGCTGAGGCTCCCGCATGGATGGAGGAGTTCTCCGGCGACTCTACGCTGTGCAAGAAGAAGGTGATGATCCGCAAAAAAAAAAAAACTTTTCTTTTACGCTGGTGTTTTCTCCTTCTGTCGTGTGTGAGCGTGAGCCCTCCTTAATTAGATCTTGCATTCTCACTTCATCTTTCCCCATCACAACCTAAACCCCAAACGCATCACGTACTCCATTCACCACACCATCGAGAAAGGATTAGAGGTACTGCTCCTAGCCGGAGCACCCCAGCATGTTCAAGTGTTAGTAAAACACATCTAAAAATGGTTTGAAAAATCTGAAAAAGAAGGATTTTTTAGTGTACCTTTGGATAGACGTGTAAACTTGAAAAGATGAGATCTAATGGTGAAAATTCGTTCCTCCTACACCTAATATAAGGTGCAGCAGTATAGTAAAAGGGTAATTTTAAAAAAATTATTGTGGCATTATTGTAAATTCAGTATTAAGAGAGGGTGTGATATGTAATTGCACATGCATTGCAATAGGGCCGTCCTGTTTCTTTCTTGAGGTGTAGTGTAGAGGCGGAGATTAACCAGCATCTGCGGACTGCGGCGGCGTGAGGCGTGAGGAAAGGCCGGCGGCGGCGACCAGATCGCTACTGATTAGTTAGCCCCTGGACATTGCTGAACTACAAACAATTTTGAGATCATCAGAGCATTAGTTCTAGGCCATGGCATTGTTTCTTATCGCGTTTTCTTTTCTTCTCCTCTTATTTTTGCATGAACATATGCATTTCCCAGTTCATGAAACAGACAAACAAAAGTTAACAGTTTACAATTTTATTCCCAATCCATGTGAAATGAATGGCCAAAGCTATTGCCATCCGTTTCAGTAAAAAAATGTCAGCGCAAAAGTTAGTTAAATGCATATTAGATTATGTTCTTAGAAGAGAATTCAGAGCACTGAAATTCGAATTCCATGGATTCTGAAAATACAGTGCAATGAACTGAAGGGGGCAAATTATAAGCTAGCAGTGCAATATTCAGTACTGTCAGAATTGTGATCTTATTACATTTAAACTACCTTGCCCTTTTATTTCTTCTACGGTACCAAACTACCAATGCAATTTTCAGTACCGGTACTTTCATGCACTTCCATGCCTTCTGTAACACTAAAAGTTTGGATCACAGAAACTGCGACGAATTCGAAACCAAAGCAAAACACTTCATTTCTTCTTCTTATTGAGATTCTCAACATCAACTGATCTCTCTGGCGATAATGAATTCAGAAATGGCAATATCAACTGGTCATCTGCTGCAGGCATAGGAAATATATGATGCAGTTAGACTGTGTGATAATTTTCAGAAAATGTTGAATTTAAAATCCATCACATGTCAAATATATGAGCCCAAGTTGAACAATACTGCAGTTGGTCCTAGTTTATCCTAAAATTGGCCCTAAAAAGGAGGTCTCTAATTAGTTCAGTGAATCAAAGAGTAACATGGCACTGAGTCAGATAAAACGAAAAGTGCATGGGGAACTTACACAGTTAATACATCTGTTTTTATTCCCAATTACAAAATCACAAGAAGTCTCACTTTTTTTAACTCTAAAGTATCAATACATCTAGTTTTCAAGAATATATCCTCAAAAGGAAAATCATTATAGAATTTCTATCCTTCTAAACTCCTTGGTTATCACATTTTCATACTCCGCGACCTCCTCCAAACTAATATGATCACCAGGCATTCCAAATTTCTGCAATTCATATTTCCAAAGTTCAACTATTAGTCAAACCACAAAGTTTGATAAAATCAAAATGTACTTATGTGGGTAGATGATGAATCTTAAAAAATCCACATTTACAGTCATCTAGTATTACTAAGCTAATACAGCTGTTATGTCTTATGTGTACATCAATTACTTATAACATACGGGGAAATCTTAATTGCTATATATATGCACATGATCAGGAAACTTCCAAGGTTATTTTCCTAAACCAAATATACCCATATATCAATTTATAACACAACTACACTCCCAAGAATCAAATTATTAAACTCCATTGTCAATCTTAAACTTTCATTTTTCATATATAACATCAAGTTACAAGCTTACTGCTTACAATACCAATCTAACAACCTACACATCATCAAATTAAATCTAGCACATATCATACCATTAAAAACATTCCTCAATTTCTCTAATCGATGGCACAAAGCAAATCTTTAACCTAGGAGGAAAATAGATAATCTTGCTCAACAAGAGGCCTTCCTAAAGAATTCTCTAGCCATATGCTTCATTACCTGAATCAAATCCAAAGCAGATGACTATCGGCGACTCCACAACCAATGTAGGCAAGCGGCTAGTGGGGTGGGCAGAGAGGCGCCGGGGGAGGGCAGAGAGGCATCCGGCGAAGAGGGCAGCGACGAGGCCGGGAGAGTGCAGATATGCAGCTGGGCTAGGAGGGCAGCGAGGGGAGGGCAGAGAGGCGGCTGGCGGTGAGGGCAACGACACGGCCGGCGGGAACGCACCGAGAAGAGGTCGCCAGGCTTCGCCGCCACTCGCGACATGGTTCAACGGCGGGGGAGTTTGATTCGCACGGTGGAGGGGAGTGGAGGGTGACGGTGACGACTTATCGACGGCGGCGCTACGGCGGCACGTACGGTGCTCCAAAACTCGCGTACGATGGTGGCGTCGATGAAAGGATGGGGGAAGGGCAGCGACTTGGACCTTGCAGCCATGCACACGAAATTACATATTTACCCTTCCACCAAGAATAAGAAAAGGTTGAAAATGCCCATAAAAATCAACGCTCAGATATAATCCTACTACACTACTACACAAAGCAGCGGGGGGCACCGTAAAATGCTAGATTGGAGAGATTCTGTGACAGGATACTAGATTCGGGGATGTATGTAAGACAAATTGATCAGAAATTGACTTATTAGACTATCATTGTATTTTTCAGACGATCATTGCATTCTTATGTTGATCTGTAGGAAACAATTTGAAGTTGTTTTAATTGGAAAGCTTTGAAGGAACGTTGTTGTATCTTCTCTGGCCTCATGGAGGCATTTATCTTCTCTGTTTCTTTGGACTAGTGTTGCATGCTATATGTGTTGCAGCACAACCATGTTAGAAGCTGCTTAAATTAGCTAGTTGTTGTACTGTATGAACATCACTGCATTTGCTCTTGTTGTGCTGCATGAGTGGTACTACTACCAGTACCACTACTACTAATACATGTTTGTATGCCTCTGTTTGGATTGGTTTGGTTTCTGTTTGGATTGGTAGCCGCTTACTTAGCTCAACCGAGCCAGAGATGAGAGGCCCTGCCTGAGCGCCGGCGATTTGCTTGCTTGCATGAGTTGCATCTATGCGTGCATCAAAAGCCGGATCGAGAAAACGCACCTCGCGAGTCAGGCCCGCTTCTCGCTGTCGCTGGGAGGGGTCACCATCTCTTCTCCTTCTCCTTGAGCTCGACTGGATCCTGCTAGCGCCACAAGCTCTCTCCACCACCGGATCCGCTCGCCGCCGGCGGATATGGCGAGAGGGATGCCCGGTGGAGACCCATCGCTTCTCACCGGCCTTCACCCCTTAATTTCTCGCCTCTCATCGCTGACCGTCTTTTTTTTCTTTCCTTTTCCCCACTTTTTCATCTGCATTTTCCTCGACCTTGCGGGTGTATTTATATAGGGAAACAACAACAACTTTGTCTAAAATCCTGGAGTGACATTTGTGAGTCTAGACAAGAAGAAGGCTGGGAATACGAAACATACAGATGGTAAACAAAAGTCTAATTTTAAACTCTGCATGGAGAATTGTAGCAAATCCTGAGGAACAAGTTAGCCAGGTATTGAAAGGTAAATACTTCCCTAATACTTCCTTTTGGAATGCTTCAATCAACACTGCAAAATCTGTCTTCTGGAGCTCTATTCTCAAACTTAGGAAAACTCTAAAAAAGTATGTCACCTGGCAACTGGCTGAATGTAAGATCTCTATTTGGAGTCAACCTTGGTGTAATCTTGATGGGGATATTCATGGTTACATTAAATTAGATTTTGTTCATAACCTAATGCCGGCCATAGTTGCTGACTTGTGGACTACATGAAAAACTTGGGATAATCAGAAGCGAAACAACTTATTTGAGTATCGTGCAGTCAATAAAATCTTGCAGGTCCCATCATCCAGAATAATGAGGAGGACATGCTTTGTTGGAAATTCACTCCAAATGGGATATGTAACACGAAAAGTGCATACAAAGAAATATATAAAAGGGAAATGCAGTCCTGCACACAGGTAAATGATCAAACAAATACAATCCTTAATCAGATCTGAAATGACAAGTTCATCCCTCCAAAAATCAAAACCTTTGCTTGGAGGCTTTTGAGAGGAGCTCTACCAACTTTTCTAAGACTGAATCATAGGGTAAGTGATATTTCTGCAAATTGTCATAGATGTGGTCTCCCTGAATGTGACTCCATCTGTTTTTTTGCTTGTCCCTTCAGTAAACTGACTTGGCTTATCTCTGAAATTAATATCCATACGGATCAATTCTCTAACAATGTTTCTATGTCTCACATTATTGCCTTTATTGCTAACAATGGTCCTAATCAAGCCACCTTGAACAGAATTTTAAATATTATGTGGCAGATCTGGAAGGCAAGAAATGACCTAAAATTCAAGAACATTGTTAAAGAGCCTACTCAAGTTTCCTTTGCAGCATAGGCGATGATAAACACTTACACAATCTTTTCAGCTTACAATTACTCGCAGGACCAACAACATGAGCAAGAGGAGAAACACCCAGGGGTCTTCCGGCTAGCTCCATAAGATAGTGGGCTAGACGACCTAGGTTCAAAGTCTCACTCCTTAATTATTTGATATTAGGTCCTACTCCTTCCCTAATATTCACGTTTTTTTTTCAACAGGAGCAAGAGAGCATTACCAGAAAGATGGATCGAATTCCTCAAGGCAATAGATGTTACGTAGATGCTTCATGGGAGGATCATGTTACTGGAATTGGAATTTTCTTTCATTTCCCTTCCACCCATAATGCTCTTTTTATCAAGGCTTCCACTAACTCAGCTCAATCTCCCTTGCAAGCCGAATTGATTGCTTTGCAACTGGCTTTGGAAATTGCCTTCTTTTTGAATTTTGCAGGTACTAATTTCCTTACAGACAGCGCTACAATTGCAGACGAGGTGAAGACAAGGAATTTCAGTGAGCAACCTGGCCATTGGAGTCTTCGGCCATTATGGAGCCAAATCACGACAACAATTCCAAATCATCTTCTGAAGGTTTTCTGGATATCCAGAGAAATAAACATAATTGCTGACAAGCTAGCTAAAGAAGCTAAAGCTGATGCTCTAATAAAGCCTATCTATAACTGCCAAAACATCTCTCACATTGCCTATCCTTCGAGAGATTGTCATGCTTCTTCTCTGAATGCTCATTTCAGTTCTTTAAATTGTAAAATAAACCATGTATTATGTTCCTAGTTTAATAAATCCTTTACTTAAAAAAAACAACAACAACTTTACCGTGCATTAGTAATAAGAAAACCATTTTCTTATTCATGGTGTTATCACAAGTAAACGACATCTTAGGCCCTGTTCTATTCTTCAACTTTCTCGTTTTCCCTTAGCATATTTTTCAAACGGTTAAATGATGCAATTTCTTTAAAAAAGTTATTTTTTAAAAAACAAAAATATATATTTTTTTAAATTTATAATACTTAATATTTAATTAATCCATTTTTCGGTATGGCACGGACGTGTGATTTTTTATTTAATTTCTTTGATTCAATTTCTTGATTTGTGGTGTTGTGTGATTTGTGCAGTGAATGGATGTGGGATTTGTTATTCAAGCTCTTTGATTTGTGGTGCTGTGTGATTTGTGCAGTAAATGGATGTGGGATTTGTGATTCAAGCTCTTAATTTGTGGTGTTGTGTGATTTGTACGACGGATGGATGCGTCATGGGGAGCTTCTCAATGCATCGCCTCGAATGGGACCGTTTTTTTTTTCATTCCTGCTACTTTCAGACATAGCGTGTGGCGGAGCGGAGGGCTTTGGTCTCCATGGGCTCAGGCCCATGTATTAGTTAGCGGAACTTCTTGCAGCCGTACAGAAACCAATAAAAAGCATGCCAACCAAACCAAACCTTTGGCCATGCTGTAGTATGACATAAATCCACGATGATCATACATACATACTGGTTACCATTCAGTTTAACTGCTAGGCTTACTCATTAAAATAAGGTCTGATAGTGACTAAATAAGGTCTGATGGTTTAACCTAAACACACTAGTAATATATCCGTGCTAAACACTACGGTGCAATTCTATTTGTCTTTAATTATTTTTTAAATTTCATGTTACCAAAAAATATTTTATATGATTTGTGCATTTGTACTTTAATTAAATTCATATCGTACATTAAATATATTTCATGTAAAGTGCAGTACTATGATATTACGTGGGCACATTAAAACTATACAAGACTTAATTATATATAATCACTTAAGTATACAATATAAAAGGGCAATATACGCATAAAAATATGTTAAAGAAGTATAGAGTTATTTCATTATTTGTTGCTGGCACAAAATAAAGCATTTGTTATAATACACCCCATACGTAAAAAACTATCCTAATGTTTAGCATTTGCGATACACTAAAGAAATTCTCGTGCGCCACTAGAAATGTTACTTCCGCACTCATTTTGCTCATACATCAATAGATGTAGCAAAAATTGTTTCCTTAGCTCGCCACCATCCTGCAAATACATTTGTTTATAAAATAAATAACTATATTATAAAATAAAATGAAATATTCTAAATGACCAATGCTAGTCGGAATGACCTTTAAAGACGGCAAATGCAGTGCTCCTAAATGAAATGAAACAAAATCAGCGAGGGAGTTTTAAAATTAAAATACCGTGGACCTCCTAAATGCAGTAATCACAGCTACAGCAAAACCAACTTCGGCTGTGTTTAGTTCAGCGCAAAGTTTAAATTTTGGTTGAAATTGAAGATGATGTGACTGAAAAGTTGTGTGTGTATGACAGGTTGATGTGATGAAAAAGGACTGAAGTTTGGATCCAAACTTTGGATCTAAACACAGCCTTCATTCAGCTTGGATGTTTTCATTAGTAAATTCACAACTCAGACACTAACGTAATGACATGGTTTTAATTTTTCACAAAATGATCTCATCTACAATGTACAGTCGACCTGGTCATGTGCACATCAGTAGTACATTTCCGCCAAAATTTTAAGGGTTTAGGGTTTAGGGTTTAGCCGAGTTTAGTTTCAAAATTTTTCTTCAAACTTCCAACTTTTTCATCACATCAAAACTTTCCTACACACAAACTTCTAACTTTTCCGTCGCATCGTTTCAATTTCAACCAAACTTCTAATTTTGGTGTGAACTAAACATACCAGAATCATAACAGGACAACAATAATATGGATTGACTCATAGGACATACAAATAGCAACTGACAGTTGATCCTAGAAACCAATGCTGACGCTAACGCTAAGGTAGCGTTCAGTAATGCATACTCCCTCCATACTCGTAAAGGAAGTCATTTTGAACAGCAACATGGTCTCCAAAACATAACTTTGACTTTTTTTTCTATAAAAATATTTATTGAAAAGTGATATATGTATACTTTTATGAAAGTATTTTTCAAGACAAATCTATTTATATAATTTTTACATTTTTAAACTCAACAACTTAAGAGTTATTCGTGATTTATATTCCCAAGATTTGACTTAAACATTGTCCTAAACGACTTCCTTTATGAGTATGGAGGGGTATTAAACAATCAGGACGTATGTGTTGGCAACCAAAACGGGATATTAAAAAGAGAATGATTAAGTTATAATACTGTTAATTTCATAGCCACATGAATCTTTCGAAACATGCAACTCCAAATGTACAACGTTGCAATCAGCGAGCAAACAACCAAGCCATCCACCACCATCTAATGTTTGACTTACATTACAAGTCAATATTTTGTTCACATTAGAAGTCATATATGCTATCAGAAGTTTAATTTTTTTTCTTATAAACCATAAAAGTTAGCTATTCCTGTATACCTGCTGCCAAACAGATTTTTCCTTCTATTTTATCCCATTCACATGACCCAGTCACCGTTGGGAGTAGCAACACTGTTATTCTTTTTGCAAATCCGCAAATCCATATATTTCTCTACCATACAAAGGAACTTACCAACCCTCACAATCAACCCAGCGCTTGTTGGCTCCCTTCCGTCGTTGTCAACACGGTTGTTCCCCTCCTAGCTTCTGTAAAAAAGATCAGAACCAATGTTGAAATTCAATCATCAGAAAAACAAAAACGATTGAGTACAGTATAACAGTGGAAGTACAGTAAATATATATGCTTAATTCTCTGATCCCATACTTCTCCTGTTTTCACATCAATAAAGTACACTTGATGATTTGAAATTCGAATCGTCATATACTGCTATACATGTGGCAAATGTTCAAAAATCACTGAAAGATCAAAATCTGATTTTGGAGATCTTAACAGATGTATAATCACACGTAAATGTTGAATTGTCTCAAATACCCTAGAAAGAAAAAGATGCACCCACAATCACATTGTCTCACATGAATCTGAAATTTTCTCCCACAATCCAGATTAGCAAGTTGGAAAAAGAACATGAAAATTATATTCTATTTCTGTACAGCGAAGACACATCTGATAAAAGAACATGACACACAAAAAAAAAATCTCGCCATATTACCAGTCAGATTAGAAAACTGTGTGATATCATGGAAGCAACCAACAGGTGATCAGTGAAAACTACACCTGAAACAGGTTCATTTCTGAACGATCATAAGGTTTAATATAGTTATCAGTCTCTCCTAGGGGACATGAGTAAATTACAGCAAATGACTATGGCACGTGATCCATATTAATGGGTAATTGATGAACGCATTTAACTGAAAAATAATGTGAATCAACAGAAATAATTTTGTTTTGGTCCTTTATTCTTTCACAGCAAGACCGCACAATTGCAAACTCATAAAAGGCGGATGATTTTCGTTTATCATCGCCTGGCATCTCGTGGTGTAAACAATAGAGTAGAAGAAAGCTTTTAGAAAATCATAGTTTTAAAGAAAGGATCAAATAATCCATAACAATAGTCCGGTGAACAAGCTAGTCGGCAGTCGGCACCATCAACTTCAGGTTGACAAAAAGAAAAGGAACAGATAATGTTCGAAGCATTGGCATTTGGCAGATACCTGGAAACTGAATTTTCATTTATCTGCATATATTATGTTAAGCAAAGCATATGAACCATCAGGATGTCTTACCAAACAAAAGAAAAGCCGTCACAACGCAAGTCGAGATCAATATTTAAACAGGCAAACGATGAGGGATACTAAGCTAGTAATTTGTTTGAGGAAGTCTGCAAACTGTAGCCATCACAACACTTGGTACAACAAGCGCCACTTATGTGCTAAAGCAACCAAGCAAACGGCAAGGAGCAGAAACTCCAATGCTGGGATGAAAGATTATTCCAATGCTGCACTTTCTGTGAAAAGTACAACCCAAAGGGCCAACAGATGGTGGGAATTCTCAAGGTTGACACTAATATTATCTGAACTCTGGAGCATAACTAGATGAGAAATTCTGAAGCCAAAATTTCACAAGGTTGCATATGTGCAATCTACAAAATCCAGTACAAAATTTGCGGTTTTGCAGGGTTAGGTCATATAAGATCATATAGCGGAAGGTACAAGCAACATGTATCATCAGCTATTGAAGACAAAAATGATACTATGGCATTTCCAGGCAGTTAAGTGCCCCCAAATGCAAACATCGACAGGTGTAAAGAAAAAGTTCTTACTTTGTTTAGCAAGGGGACCCTCTTCTGTTGTGGAGCATGCTGTGGGGTATGATCTCCATCCAATCATGGAAGATCTGGTGTCTCCATCTTGAAACTAATTAAACATTAATTCATATTGACTAAACAACATCGTTTCATGTGAGAGCTTGGTTGGGGAGCAAGATCATCAGAAGAACTAAATTATGTTTAATATGATGAAGCATAGACCGTATAGTGAACTACAAAATTTCTGGTCCTCCTAAAAACCTGTAGTTGCAATATTTCTCCTCGAACAAAAGCAAAAGCGAAAGAGAAGTATACTTAAACAATGATATGAGTATATTTAAAGGACAGGTCCCATATTAAGTGAAAGATTAAATGTGGGAAAAGGTGAAATAAAAGGCACCCACAAGCAATAGCAAGAGCTAACAAATCAAAAGCATTGTTAATCCGACAGATAATTCCGTGCATGCTTTTCAGAGAGAATCTTCGAATGCCTGACTGATCCATAATCTACAAGCTACCAGCTAGTAACTAGCTATGCAACAGTGAGATATTGCTAAATGTTAATCATATACAAAGACTGAAGGCCACACAATCTTTTCGCTGGCGCTGGCCATATCTTTCAGTAACTTGTATGTTCTTGCTGCGGGCGTGGGCTATAACCAATGGTCAGAGTTCATCAAAGTAGGGATATCCTCTTAATTTGGTTAATGCAAACCAATTCGATCTCAGGTCATTAACAGAATGTAATACAGAGAACTCGATGTTGTATTGAACTGTAAATCTTAAGAGGCAGAAACATTGGTTCAAATCTTGATCATTATCATAATAAACGGAACATAATCTTGCTACGAGATAGTACAACTGGGAAGCAAACAGGTAAAATACTAAGAACAAAGAGAGCCAGGAGCTACTCATCAAAGAACAAACTGCACGGATAATCAGAGCAAGAAACCTACATCGGTTCCCAGACCAAAGCCACATTTCTCCAAACGAACTCTTAGATGCAAGTCATCTTCTCAGGCAATGAGATTGTAACGAACTGAGAGCCGCTCATTCCGCGGGCTGCGGATCCACCACCTCGCTCTCGGAAGGAGCAGCGGGGGCTTCTCCCTCGGGCGGCGCCGCGGCGGCGGCGGCGGCGGCGGCGGCGGAGCGGGACTTGACGAAGTCGAGGAGGCGGCGGCTGACCTCCTTGGAGTAGAGCTGCAGCGCCTTGATGCCCTCCTCCACGGACGCCGTCGCCGCGGCCTCGCCGCTGGCCGCCGCGGCGTCGAAGGCCTCGGCCTCGATGCCCCGCGCGGCCGGCTCGGCGTCGGCGGCCGGCACCGCGCCGTAGCGCTTGCAGAGGATGGTGTCCCCGCCCAGGGTGTCCACCAGCCGCCGCACCACTGCGTCCCGCGTCCGCTGCGTCGGCGGCCAGATGCTGAACGAGAACCCCTGCGCCGCCTCCCCCTCCCCCTCCTCCGCCGCCGCCACGCCCGCTGGCGCGCCGGCGGAGTGGAGCTCGTCGGTGGCCATCCGCCCGCGGAAGCTTCTAGAAGGAAAACCTCGAAACGCGAAACCCTAGCCCCCGCCGCCGCCCGATCCGTTCGCGGCGAGGGGATTAAAAGCGGAGGAGAGGCGGTGGAGCGTCGCTGTAATTGATGATTTTTTTGTTTTGTTTTTTTTTTTGTTCGGAAGTTGGGGAGATTGCGGTGGCTTCAAGCGAAGCCGAAGATTGTGGAGAGGAGATGAGATGAGATGGGGAGATCGTCGGTTGGTGGCTCTACTTATAACGGCGATGACGAGGTGCGGTTGAATGCTTCCGTTTTTGGGGGGGCACATTGATGCGTTTCCTCCTTTGATTCGTTTGGGATTTTGAAATTTTAACGTTCGATTCAGGGTGTGGGAATGGTAGGCGATCTGGATAAATCCGGGTAGTAATTGAATGCCTGGGAGCACTACTGACGTGTAAAGATATGATTGTTTTTTGTAACTGAAGATACGATTTTTTTTGGGTGCAGTTTAGTGCTTTCCAATGGTGGCACGAGTACTAAACGAGTAAACGGCTAAAGCAGCACCGGATTCAGCACGTAGAAATACGAAAGAATGTACTAGTATTTACCATCCTCCTAAAATATACTATATCACTCTTCTAAGTTTTTATTCTCATTTACCACCCAAATTCACATGTTATCTCCTTACCCATTCGATAAGTATTTGATCGAGAAAGAAAACTAACATGTGGAACCGGATGATGAATAAGAATGAAATTTTTAAAAGGTGGTATGTAGGTGGTGTTTGAATATCCTGAAGATGAAGATGAAGATAAAGATTAAGTGTTTCACGTAAAACGAGATAATAATAATGTGTGATTAATTGAGTTTTAGTTATTACAAACTTGAAAAATAGATTAATATGATATTTTAGAGCAACTTTTATATAGAAAGTTTTCGCACAAAACGCATCGTTTAACAGTTTGAAAAGCGTGCCACGAGTATCCAAAATTTAATCCTCTTCTAAGAAGGATGAAAGGATGAGTAAGATTCCCTTCTATGTTGATTCTTTTTGGGACGAAGGGAGTAATCCGTAAGAGCAAGTCTAATGGTACAGCCCACTACTAGCTTCAATTCATCTATAGCCAATCTAATAGCCAATTCATACAATAATTACTTATTATACTATTAATATATGGTCTCACCTGTCATACACACAGCCCGCTGCTCTTCTCTCTTATCATTTATCTCATTAAAATATGTTTATAGCTGGCTAATAGCATGCTATTTACCTGCTCTAAGGTTTGGGGCCGCATACATATGCTGGATCGGATCGAAGAATATTCGCATCGAACGGTGGCGCGCGAGCCCACCGGCTGCGCGCCGATCCATCCATCCACACAAGGCCGGGGGTCAGCCCTCCGGCTCGCTCGAGTCCAAGTGTCCAACCCCATCGCATCGCCATCTCCAACGACGCGCAGCCACGATCGCTCGCTCGCTGGGTCGGTGACGTCGGTCGCTGCCCCGGCCCGCGCCGCCGTCTTCTCTCCTCTCAAAAAGAAAAAAAGCACCCCGCGCGCTCGAGTCTACGCTCCCATCGCCCTCCGCCTCGCCTCGCCGCAAATCTCACCACTCGCCACCGCCTCCCTCCCCCTGCCTCAGCGCGGCTCCACGCTCCCTTCCACTTTCGCCGCCGGCGCGCGGACGGACGGGCAGCAGATAGCCATGGCTGCCTCCGAGCAGCGCGTCGTCGCCGTCATCATGGTCGGCGGGCCGACCAAAGGTAAAGGCAGATCCGCGCGCGTCCATCCTCCGCCGCCGCCGGCCAGCGCCGCGGTGGGTACTCGTGTTACCATCTGACACACACGGCGTGTTTTTTTTTCTTTTTTTTTTGGCAAGGGACGAGGTTCCGGCCGCTGTCGCTGAACGTGCCGAAGCCGCTGTTCCCGCTCGCCGGCCAGCCCATGGTGCACCACCCAATCTCCGCCTGCCGCCGCGTATGGCAGATTTAACTCCCATTGATTTCTCTTCTTGTGTGAGAAAAGAAAGAAAAGCAAAAATTCTAAGAATCTGGGATCCCCGCTGCTGCAGATCCCCAACCTGGCGCAGATATACCTCGTCGGGTTCTACGAGGAGCGGGAGTTCGCGCTCTACGTCTCCTCGATCTCCAACGAGCTCAGGGTCCCCGTCAGGTTAGCCTCCTGCCCCCCCCCCCCCCCCCCCTCCGACTTGCCATGGGATAAGATGGTTCAATTCAGGAGCATTTGGGGGTTTGTTGGGTGTCATAACAGTGGCATTGATGGCTTTGCTGTGACAATTTCTAGGTACCTGAGGGAGGATAAGCCCCATGGATCAGCTGGAGGGCTCTACAGCTTCAGGGATTACATCATGGAGGACAGTCCGGTCTGCTCGTGTTCCCGATTATCAGCTTGAATTTCGGAATTCAATTAACATGAACTTGCTGGGATTAATTGTAGTGGGTTTCTTCACACTGGGCTGTTTGACTAGTGTTGGCTAATTTGGGTGATATGCAAAGCGTTGGGTTGGATTACAGGAAGTTTTATCTTCTAAAACAACTCTCCTTTTGGTTTTGCAGTCGCACATTGTTTTGTTGAACTGTGATGTATGCTCGAGCTTCCCCCTGCCAGACATGCTCGGTAGGTTGCTAAGTTACTGAACTTGGGATAGTTCATTGTGTCTCTCAGCTGTGTTTGTTTATGTTAGATTCTGATCACTAATTGTTATCACCATCTAATCATTGTAGAGGCCCACAAAAAGTATGGTGGAATGGGTACTTTATTAGTCAATAAGGTGCGAGGACACTACAACAGAACCTTCTGTCTGTGTTTCTAAAGTCCTGATATTTTCATACATAACGTTACCTGCTTACAATTTTTGTCAGGTCTCCGCAGAGTCTGCAAACCAATTTGGTGAGCTCGTAGCTGACCCTGAAACAAATGAACTGTTACACTACACAGAAAAGCCAGAGACTTTTGTAAGTACAAGTTCTGATCATGCCTTGTTTTCCTTGCTATTCTATTTCTCCTCTTCGGATGATGCTTGTGCTTTTTGGTTTTGAATTGCATCAGCACTTTAGCATTTTGATGGTTCTCTAATTCGTTATTAACAATGCTCTTTATGTGTAGGTGAGTGATCTCATAAATTGTGGGGTCTATATATTTACACCCAATATCTTTAATGCCATCGAGGATGTCTTAAAACAGAAGAAAGACAGAGGTAATATGTTCAGCTATATCTTGACTTTTGCCTTGTAAACTGATGTTATGATTCAAAAGTAGCCCACAATTATTCAATCACGTTGCATGGAAACTTTCTGGTATACTCAGCTTATAACATCTAAGTTCTCTGGTGTTTTAAACTTTTTCATATAAGAACATAATAATCATTAGAAACAATTATTATTTGGATCAGGTGTGAAATGTCCTGTTCACTATAATGCAAGTCAATTGGAAACTTAGGTTCATAAAAACTATGCTAATAATTATGCTAGTAACTGTACCTTGGATCCTCCTTTCCTTAAATGGGAGAAACTACATTCCCTCAATTCAGTTAACATTTCTGCATTGCTCCTTTTTTGTCCAGTATTGGTTCTTCTTATTCACAACATAAAACTTATTCCTTTCCAATGCTAAATTTCAGCTAACCTGCGCCGTGTCTCTAGTTTTGAAGCTCTTCACTCGGCAACAAAGTACGTGTATGATGTATTCTTCTATTCATTGTCCTGCATATTTAACACTATTTCAAATTAAGTTTTTCTCAGTTATGGAAAAGTTTTAGATGCATTGCAAAGAATAAGCACACTGTAATCTATAAGTGCATCACCAGGAAGTTGAAAACAAACTGAGAAACCTAGGGAAATATTCTTTCCTTTATAACTTATGATATCAATGATCTCTAGTAGATTAATTTCTCGTTAGATATATGTACTATCCAGGAATGAGGAATCAACACTTTTGACTTCTGAATATTAAATGTAACAGCACACTAATGAAAGCTGCCACTGGAATTTGGTCGTATCAAAGTTTTATGTCTTGTATTATTGTACGTACAACTCAATAATCAAGTACTCAACATGTATTTTTCCTGTTGGCTTTTGCTTGTCATTTGTGGCATCTCCAGTGTTTTTTTTTTTGGATAACTTTAGTAAAGTTGGTTTGGTACCATGAACCTGGCATGATAATGATAATGACTATCACACTTTTGTGAAGCTGTATTCTTCCCTTATCCCTTCTATATATCCCAGGAGGAACAGTGCACTGCCTAGAACACTTACATTCTGTTTTAATCCAGTTTAACAGCCATCAAAGCATGCAACAGAGAGAAACGAGGGGATGAGTAGACTAAACCTAGCTTACGCCTTGCTGGTTTTGTAGAAGATATATATATTTTTTGTTAGTGTTAACTTAATTAAGCGGCTATGTGTAGCAACACAATGTGGATTGTGGAAACCAGAATCATAGCCTCCACTTTATTTGTAATGTATAGTTACTGTTGGCACTAGTCATCCCTGGTTATAATTTTTGCCATTCAGGACTTGTTAGACTAAGTACAATAGAGCTGCCATTTATTTGTTGCAATACTGACCATCTTGTTGTAATTGTCAACAGAGCACTTCCAGCAGACTATGTTAGGTTAGATCAAGATATTTTATCCCCTCTAGCAGGAAAGAAGGAACTTTACACATACCAGACTCTCGACTTTTGGGAACAGATCAAGACCCCAGGGTAATAGTTGTTCCTAACTGCACTCTTTCTGACTTTGGAATTGTTAAGTAATAATGAGAGACTGCACCTATGCATAGGATGTCTTTGAGATGCTCTGGCCTATATCTTTCTCAGTTCCGCCATACCTCTCCTCATCTTTTAGCCTCAGGAGATGGCAAAAGGAGTGCCACTATTATAGGTGATGTGTACATTCATCCGTCTGCAAAGGTTCATCCAACAGCAAAGGTGGAGTCTGGTTCTCTATTTTGATTAGATTGTGTTTCATCCTGCTATCTCATATACTTCTCTGTTTGATTAGTTTTAGTTTTATGAAATGATGAGGGACATTGTCTTCTAATATGAATTTTCGCTAAAGCTAACCCAGTTTAGTAATGCTCCATTAACAGATCGGTCCTAATGTCTCGATATCAGCAAATGCACGTATTGGAGCTGGAGCCAGGCTTATTCATTGCATTATTCTGGATGATGTTGAAATTATGGTTAGTTTTCTACGTACCATATGATAAACCTAATCTCGCTAACATGTATCTCATGCAGTTTCTTTGGTGGCAGGAGAATGCAGTTGTTATACACTCAATTGTGGGGTGGAAGTCAACCGTAGGAAAATGGTCACGTGTACAGGCAAGTATTATATCGTTGCTCATTTTAAATGTTTTGCATTCCAAGTGTTTTGGAATAGTTCATCATATCCAATTCAAGAGGCAAGAAGAATATCGTAATGCTTTAATGCAAATTCCTTTGCTGTCTAATTTTGTTCCCTAACATTTTTAGCATATAAATTTGGGTTTTCTGTAGTTCCATCTACAAGATTTATACATTTTTCTCAGAAAATACTTCTGCACGTATTTAGTTTGCTTAATTTCAAGTCTGGCGTGATTGCTCAACCCAGTGAAATGCATCTTTAGGCTCATTTAATGAAAGTTCTATTTTTCATTCAGGGTGAAGGTGACCATAACGCCAAACTCGGTATCACAATTCTTGGTAAGACCCAGTCTGCACATGGCCTCCCACAAGAATCTTGTGATAATATGCTTTGTGCGTGTGGGTTAGTTCCTATGATTGAGTTGACACATTATCTCTATTTCTAAATGCAGGTGAAGCCGTTGATGTTGAAGATGAAGTGGTTGTAGTTAACAGCATTGTGCTCCCCAATAAAACTCTCAATGTCAGTGTGCAAGAGGAGATCATATTATGATAGTCCTTTCATAATTCATATTTTTATTCAATTCCAAATAAGGTCTGCGGACCAATATGTAGTTCCTCTCTTTTATTACCTCCTTGTAAGCTTCCCCCCAGATTGATATCATTAGTCTATGTTATAGCAAGCTTGAGATATGGACAGTGTAATTTTTTAGCGTAAAATTTACTGATGTAAAAATGTACAAACATATGACAATTTTTTTTTATTGAACTAACGATTTTCATCAAGCATCAACAGTGCGATGGTGTATCTGGGGTTGTGTTTTGGATTATAGATCATATTGAATGCCATTGCTTATTGTACCATGAATGCACCGTGGGTTACTTAATGTGGTATGCTAAGTGACTCTTCCAATGGGCTCACTGTAAGCTAATTTTCTGCATACCTTACCTCGCTGATGGATGACGTGTGCAATATTGCTACCTCCATTTCAACTTTGTAAAGAAACACATCAGTCATCATTCACCAGTGCTTGCGTTATGCACAATATATTCTAAGAAATGGTGGGTAAATGTTCAATGCGTTAGAATATGCCTGGAAACTCAGCTGAGAAGGCATTGACTATCACATTCACATACCATCGGTAACCATGGTAGTTCAAACCTATGTACAGAAATGCTTCAGAAGCATATGATACCAAATACTAATGCAGACACTGTCAATGCGATCGAAGCGGACGTGATGGCTATTTACCAAAAAGAGGATAGCAAGGAAGATCAAATATGCACATGTAGATCGTTCAAAAAATATGCACATGTATATTCTACTAACCATGTATTTTTCCACACTACCCTGCAGGTTGCAAGGATGCTGCAAGGGCACTTCAGCCGTTCACATACTTGAGATCCCTGAGGAAAGACGGCTTGATTGTATTTGGTGAAGGAATGGTCGACACGCGCTCGAACTGTACTATGCCCGAACAAACAAATGTGAACAAAACATAATTAGAATAGGAATGTACAGTAAAACCACCAAAAGAAAAAAGGAAATGGAAGAATCAGGCCTTACCGCGTCGTCCTCGTACTTGCTTCTGATGGCTCTAAGGTTCGACCACTTTCTGCCCGCTTGCAAATCATGTATGGAACGAATACAATCTTCGATATCAGAGACCTTGTAGCCTGTGATGCGTTGAACCGACAGGTTCTGGAGAATAATGGACGGTAAAGTTAGATGAATATGAAGTGTCACGCAGGTTCAGCAGAAGTTGATGTCTTCTTACCCAAGGACGAGTGTTCGGGTTGAGTGTGAACTTGCCAACAAACAGGCAGGCAGCAGCAACAATCGATGGAAGAAACCTTATGTTGTAATCGTCTAACAAGCTCAATTCCGCAAGATAGATACACATCAATTCCAGTCTTATGTTTATTGGTCTCTGCAGTTTGATGGGAGGAACAGATTAGAGAGAAACAAATGCGGGGGTGCTCCAAAAGTGTCCTTACATTGCTTCCACGACAAGAAAATAAGAATCTCCTGCAACAGACGGTCAGACAGGTATTAGACGGTAGGATTGGAAGTTCAGTAAATCAGAAAATCAGTAGTCATGAATCATGATACAGTTGACGACATTGAACACGTAACCATATTACAAACTGAAGAAATCCATCTGAGATCCTATGTTAATTAGGAAAGTTTAGAATGGGGCACATACCGTAGGAAAGTTATTACAGTGGGACTCCCCATCTGAAAGTTCAGAAAACTCAGTATGTTCGCTTCCATCGCCACCACCTGCAGTGCGTACAAATTACAAATGTATCTCTATCACTTACAGCACTAATGAAATATAGAAAGTTCAGGATTTACACTACCTGCTGTGTGGTGTAAGTGTCAGCAGTAATCGAACTGAAGAATCTTGCACTAGGATGGCAACGGTCTTCATACTTACTGCAACACTCAATATCATTCCAATCAGGGGCATGTTCAAAGATCAGAGAGATAAACAAACAATATATAAAAGCTCAACAGGTTGGTCCCTTACGAAGCAACGAACAATGCAGAGGTACCAAGAAGTTGCAGCCTTTCCCTGTTAACGACATTTCTTGAAAGGAAGCGGTCAACATATGAAACCGCAAGGTAAAGTATGTTATCCCAAAGATTGAACCCATAAACCAGTTCCTCCATCCAGTTCACAAGCTTTCCCCTCATATTGATGTGGCCTCCTTGTATCTCCTGATCATAGTTAACTATCGGCCTCCTTGATTCCTCAGCCTAAAAATCTTGCAAATTTGAGACAAACAAAGGAACAACAAAAGCCACCAATTTCACCGAAACAAAACATTCCAGTGTGTAATTGCATACTGATCATGGGTGAAGCGATTAGCTTCAGATAATCAAGACAGCAACTCGTAAGCATATAATCTAGTTTGTCAGACTAAAACAATCCCTCTGGATGACTCACAGTGCAGAATTGTACAGCATCCAAACATTTCGCCATTTCCCTTCCCTAGACAACAGCAACTAAAGCGGGACAGAATCCAATATCCACGAGAGCATGACTAAGACACTGGACAATTCATGCAACTAACCAAAATCAGAAAAATCCACAAATCATCCCTAAATTCTAGTATGATCCTGCCCCCAGAAAAATCCCTAAAACTATATCAATTCAGTCTACAGAGCCCACAATCCATTTCGAATTTTCGATCCCAATCATACCACTAGGTCCATAGCACTAGATTTGCCTCCTGAATCAGTTCAAGCTTCCACACGCAAGCTGCGACTAGGAGTAGGAGAGGCGATCAGGAAACCCCCTCACCTCGAGAGACCGGAGGTATCGGTCGATGTCCTCAACGTACGGCGCAACCGCCGGCCCTGCCGCGTTGGGGACCAGCTGCCACGGACCTCCGGCCGCACCCGGCTGCCTCGGACCTCCAGCGGCGCCCGGCTCCCTCGATGGTCCAGCGGCGCCCGGCTGCCTCGAAGGTCCAGCGACGTCCGGCTCCCTCGAAGCTTGACCCGCGTCCGGCTCCCTCGAAGCTTCACCTGCGTTCGGCTCGTTCGGACCTTCGGCGGCGGCTTCGGGAGCAACGGCGACGACGGCCGCGCCCTCCGCGCCGTCGGGATTCCCCGCCTCCTCCTCCTCCGCCGCCGCCGCAGCCGCCGCCGTGGCCTCCATCCTGGCCACCGACCTCGTCCTCGGCCTCGCCATCCGCGGCGGCGAGGGGTCGAGACGGTTATTCCGTTATTCGCTTCGGAGTCGGTGGGGAATCCAACCTCGCGTGGTGGGGGAGCTTGGCGTTGCCGCCTTCGATCCCGACCTATTAATAGGCGGCGGCGGCGCAACCGCGCGGGCGGCGTTGATCGCCTTGCTTTCCATCGGCGTCGGCTCCGCCTTCGCGTTGCGCTTCGCCGCTTCGGCTTTGGTTTCTCGCTGGGGTTTTAGGAGGGGTCAACTGGTCAACAGACAAGGAGGGGGGTTATTGTCTCATTGAGACGACGGTTTGGTTGGCCATTTGAAATGGGCTAAATGGCTGTGCATAAGCGGGAATTTCTTGGCAAAGCCAAAAACGGAAAAAAGGACAAGAAAAGAAGAGCATAATCAAATCGATTTTGCTATATATTTATAGTTTATTTTCTAAAACTTTGACCGATGTAAATATAATATAATCATAGTGTAATTATATTGTTACATCATGTAACTTGCATCTAACCGCAATATAATTTTAAACCGTTCGATTTGCTTTTAAAATTCATGTAAGGGAGGTAGGAAAAAATCACAACCCACACACATATGAGGGGATTTAGTACCATTACCTCCATTTTCACATAATTAGTAGGGACTATCTATAGAGTATGACACCTAGAGATTTTTGAAAGTTACATACACATTATACTATAGTCACATCGTAATTATACTATATTTACATATATCAATTTTTTTAGTTAAGATCTAACGACAAATGTATAGCTAATCCCTAACCAAATATGGGGTACTCCAGTAATTCAGTACACGAACATAAACCAAACTTTGTACTACTTCCTCCGTTTCACAATGTAAGTCATTCTAGCATTTCCCATATTTATATTAATGTTAATGAATCTAGATAGATATATATGTCTAGATTCATTGACATCAATTTGAATGTGGGAAATGCTAGAATGACTTACATTGTGAAACGGAGGGAGTACCAAATACAGATTTTAAAAAATGCTTCCTTCAGTTCAATAAGCGTAGCCCCAATTTGGCTTAATAATACCCATGACTTATGGCAAAACCACCTAAATAAAGTAGATATGTATTCGGTGAATAATTTATTTTAAGAAAAGCATATAAATTCATGCTTTTTTTTCTAAAAGAATAATACAACTCGTGTAATATCCTACAAATTTGTGTGTTTACTTATTGAATTAGAATTTAAATTTGGATAACATGGATAATTTACTTTTTTAAACAGAATATTTCAACCATATGCAGATCCAAATTGGCTGCGTATATTAGGTTTAGATGTAGAGGCTGGGTTTTAATCATTTATATAAAAAAATGCACATCCATATTTTTGTTGTCAATATGAATACAAATTCTACCCCTCTTGGCTCTTGCTTAAGATGAACCTGGCAATCAAGCTTGGATATATATTTTTCGTCATTAGATAAACTAGCTGGGGAAGAGTCAAGAGTGACTTCTCTTTGATCATCGCTCAAACACAACTCAGCAAACGTGGTGATTTTGCATTCAGGCGTTCAGCTTGCAGATATAAAAGTTGGGTTTTCTATAGGTAGTTCCATCATATTCTGCTTGAGTTGAAGTTTGGTGTGATTGCTCACCCCAGAGGAACTCCATGTCTCCATCTGAAATGAAGATGCAACTATGATACTGCCATTCCGGTGTTATACCAAGCTTGACATATGGTACGGTGTAGTATATATTTTTTTACTATGAATCTTTTGTCCAAAGTCCAAACCTCTGTACAGAAACGATTTATGTGCACATGATAGGAAAATACTATTTCAGATATCGTCAATGCGACTGAAGCGGAGATGCTGCCGATTTACCAAAAAGAGCATCGGAAGATCAAAGACGCACATGTATATTCTACTAACCATGTATTTTTCCACACCGCCCTGCAGATTTGCAAAGATGCTGCAAGGGCACTTCAGCTGTTCGCGTACTTGAGATCCTTGAGAAAACACACCTTGATGTTTTCTGGTGGAGTAATTGTCGACACGGACCCAAACTGTACAATGCTCAAACAAACGTGAACAAAACATAGTTAGAATATGCATCAATGCATGTAAAACCACCAAAAGGGAAATGGAAGAAGCAGCCCTTGCCTCGTCGTCCTTATACTTGATTCTGACGGCTTTGAGGTTCGACCACTTTCTGCCCGCTTGCAAATCATGTATGGCATGAATACAATCTTCGATATCAGAGACCTTGTAGCCTGTGTTGCGTTGAACCGACAAGTTCTGGAGAATAATGGGCGCTAATGTTAGATGAACATAAATCGGCATGTAGGTTCAGCAGAAGATGATGTCTTCTTACCCAAGGACGAGTGTTCGGGTTGAGTGTGAACTTGCCAACAAACAGGCAGGCAGCAGCAACAATCGATGGAAGAAACCTTATGTAGTAATCGTCTAACAAGCTCAATTCCGCAAGATAGTTACACATCAGCTCCAGTTTTCTGTTACTTGAATTCTGCAGTTTGATAGGGGGAACAGATTAGAGAGAGAGAGAGACAGAGAGAGGCAGAGGGAGAGAGAAACAAATGCAGGCTCCAAAAGTGTGCTTACATTACCTCCACAACAAGAAGTTAAGAATTTCCTACAGCAGATAGTCAGACACGTATTAGACAGTAGGCTTGGAATTTCAGTAAATCAGAAATGAGTAGCCATGGTACTGTTGAAGAAAATCATCTGCGTTCCTATCCTAAATTCCTAATTAGGAAGGTTTAAAATAAGGCACATACCGTAGAAAAGTTATTACAGTGGGACTCCCCACATCAAAGTTCAGAAATCTCAGTATGTCCAACTCCATCTTAGACACCTGCAATGTATGCAAACTACAGATGCATCTCTACCACTCACAGTTCTAAGAAATAGAAAGTTTTCAGCAGCATTTACGCTACCTGCTGCGTGGTGTAAGTGTTAACAGTAACGGCACTGAAGTTCCTTACATGAGGAGGGTGAATTTCTTCATACTTCCTGAAACACTCAAATCATTCTAGTCAGGGAGACATGTTCAAAGATAAGAATAAAAAAAATCATTTTACTCCCTTGAGCTATTTCATTGGATTGCTTGACCCACTAAAGTATTTTTTGGCTCATTTTACCTCTAAACTATTAAAATGCTTCAATTTACTGGTTAAAGCATTTCTTTTTTTTCTCTTTACACAAATCGTATTTTAAGCTGTTTTTTTTAGAGACGTAGATGACACCATAATCAAAGTTCCAACATATTTTTTTTAAAAAAAAAACATTACTTTTTGCTGGAACTATAAATTCTGGATGTTTCAAACTTACAATCATTCTTATATGCTTCCAAGTTCCAACTATGTAAGCAGTGACAAAAACAATTTATAAAATATGACGATAATTAAATTGTAATGCATCTATCGGTCCTATCAAATTTCAGTGCAGGATACGATTTATATGCAGAGAAACAAAAGTGAGAAATACCGTTAGGGAGTAAAGTGAACTATTTTCAATAGTTTGGGGGTGTAAAATGAGCCGAAAGTAGTTTAGATGGTTAGGTTTCGATAAGTAAACAATATATAAAGCACACAACAGGTTAGTCCCTTACGAAGCAACAAACAGTGCAGTGGTACCAAGCAGTTTCAGCTTGTCCCCAGGAAAGGCAATTTTTGAAAGGAAGCGGTCAACATATGAAACCGCATGGTGAAGTGTCTCTTCCTGAAGATTGAACACATAAGCCACATCTGCCATCCAGTCCACTAGGATCCCCCTCACATCCATATTGATGATGCCTCCTTGTATCTCCTGAACATAGTTAATCATCGGCCTCCTTGTTTGCTCAGCCTAAAAACCCCACAAATTTGAGACAAAGGAACAACAAAAGCCACATTTCAAGATATAATTGCATACTACTCATGGCCTCATGGGTAAAGTGAGTAGCTTCAGATAATCAAGACGGCAAGTCGGTAAGCAAACCTAAAAAGGGAACTAGCTTCAGATAATCATCTAGTTTATCAGACTAAATTCATGATAGTGAAAGTTGATAAAAACTAGTCCTCTGGGTGGAAAACTCACTGAGCTGAATCATATCCAAACATTTCGCCATTTCCATAGGACCATAGCCATCATCATCAACGACTAAAGCGGGACAGGATCCAATAACCATGACGAAGACACTGGAGAATTCACGCCAACTAACCAATTTCAGAGAATCCACAAATCATCCCAGTCGCCTAAATTCCAGAATCCACGCGTGATCGGGAAACCCTCACCTCGAGAGACCGGAGGTACCGGTCGATGTCCTCAACGTACGGCACCACCGCCAACTGCGCCGCGTCGGGGACCGGCTGCCTCGAACCTCCGGCCGCACCCGGCTCCCTCGAACCTCCAGCGGCGCCCGGCTCCCTTGAAGGTCCAGCGGCGTCCGGCTCCCTCGATGGTCCAGCAACGTCCGGCTCCCTCGAAGGTCCAGCGGCGCCCGGCTCCCTCGAAGCTTGACCCGCGTCCGGCTCCCTCGAAGCTTCACCTGCGTTCGGCTCACTCGGACCTTCGGCGGCGGCTTCGGGCGCAACGGCGGCGACGGCCGCGCCCTCCACGCCGTCGGGATTCCCCGCCTCCTCCTCCGCCGCAGCCGCCGCCGCGGCCTCCATCCTGGCCACCGACCTCGTCCTCGGCTTCGTCATCCGCGGCGGCGTGGGGTGGAGACGGTTATTCCGCTATTCGCTTTGGAGTCAGTGGGGAATTCAACCTCGCTTGGCGTTGCCGCCTTCGTTGCCGCCCTATTAATAGGCGGCGGCGGCGGCGGCGCGTGCGTCGCGTTGATTGCCTTGCTCTCCATCGGCGACGCCTGCGGCTCACGCTGCCGCGCAGCGCAGCGCTCGCCTTCGTCTCTCGGTGTTGCGCTTTGGCTTGGTTTGGGTTTAGGAGGGTCCTGACGCGGTTTGGCCATTTGAATGGCCGTCCATAGGCGGGAATTTGTTGGCAAAGCCAAAAACGGCATAAATCCAAATATCCAATATGGAGTACTACTAGACTGTGTTTAGTTCCTTCCAAAGTTATAAGTTTGGGTTGAAATTGGTACGATGTGACTGAAAAGTTGTGTGTGTATGACAGGTTGATGTGATGGAAAAAATTAGAAGTTTGATCCAAAGTTTGGATCTAAACACAGCCCTACTCGAGTAATGCACGAATAAGGCCGAACTTTGGGGTATATACAAATTAGAAAAAAAATTGCGTGATTCGGTTCAATACATGTATTCTCAAGCTTGCTTAGTGCTTACGCTATGTTTGGCACAGTTTCAGATCTCATATTTACGATAAATTTAACGTTTGTATGTTAAATTATAGTGGTTTAAAATTTAAATTTCATACAAAATAGAAACAAAATAATTTATTCAAATGTTATCAACATAATCAAATCACATATTTAGATATATAGATTTGTGGAGTTAGCAATATACAGCTTAAAATAATCTTAGATCCGAGGCTATGTCAAAGGAGACCTTAGTAAAGTAAAGAGATAACATGATTTATGGCAAGACCACCTAAATAACGGTGTTGGAGCCGTCAAACTGTTGTCCTGGGCGCGCACTGTGCGTTTTTGAGGAAGCAGGGATACCACATTGACATTGGCAGCTCAAACACATGAATGTACTTCAGATTGTACTCCTATAGTATGTGTCTTTGTACTTGTCGTGCGAAACTTCTATTACAGTTTGTATTTCGTCCCTCTTGCCTAAGATGAATCTCGCAATCATGCTTCAATATATATTCTCTATCAGAGACTCAGAGGATAAACCAGCTGGGGAAGAGTCAGGCATGACTTCTCTATGGTCATTCACACAAACACCACAGGTTACAAAAATGTTGAAGTGTCTCTACACAGTAGTTGTGATTTTACATCCAGGCATTCAGCTTGCAGATAACAATGATGCTGGAATAGCATTTCTCTCAGCACAGAAGGCAATGCTAGAATGGTCTTCCACAGTAGAACTTGCAGAAACATATTCTATTGATATTGAAAATAATATGGTTGGCCATCTATAGATCACATGCAGAACTTCATACCTGTTATAAAAGTCATTAGTCATAAGAACTTATGAAATCAAAGTGGCCAACAAATACAGTGAACAATAATCAATAGAAACCATGAAGGTATACCTTGAACAACATATCGAAGTACAGAACTCTCTTTTTCAGTTATTTCCCTGTCCAACCAAGTTATCTTCCCCAATTTATCATCGTCGTGATTCAAATGTGTTGCTGTGTTTCACTATAGTGTCAGTGTCAGTTCTATCACTACTTTGATGTGTGCTCTGCAAGGTATGATCAACTCTTCGGCAATCCTCAGGCGCCAACCGTCCAAACTGTGCCATTTGAGCAGTTAATCTGGCAATAGATTCTTCACGGTTGGCAAGCTGCATGAGTATCTTTATCCTTCTAAATGCAACATTGCTCGGCTTCTGCCCTAACTCAATCATTTGATGGAAGCACCTCTCAGCCTCATCCAGCTTCCCTTCATCACATAACAGATCAAACAACACATCAGACACCAAGGTGAATGACCCAAACCCATTATTGACCATATCACTCCACAGCTCTAGTGCTTGTGCAACCCTCCCATGCCTATGACATAACCTCACAATAAACATGCAAGACTGGGTGTTCGGGAAGCATCCTTCAGAACGCATCCGCTCATACAACTGCCAAGCACTGCCAATGTCGTATGCCCAATAATAGCAACGGAAGAAAAGGTTATAGGTTGTGGCATTTGGCATGAGTCCCTTCGAGGCCATTTCTTCCATCAATGCAAACGCATCACCAAGCCTCTTTGCTATCACAAAGTTCCGTATCGCCGTGTTGTATGCAGGTACATCGGGGTAGCATCCAAGCTCATGCATCTCCTTCAGCAAGTGCTTTGCCTTGTCTGGCTGGCCAATCAACCCCAGCCCGCCGATCAAGCTCGTGTAAGTGATCACATCGGGAGAAATGTCCTTCTCCCGCATTTCGTCGAGCAGCTTGTAGGCATTCTCCACGCCCCGGTTCTTGCAGTGACAATCAATCAAACTGTTGTAAGTCACCAGGTCTGGCTCCACGCCGAGCTCCCGCATCTCGGCGACGAACGCCTCCGCGTCCTCGGCTGACTTCCACCCGGAGAGCAGGATGTTGAATGTCTGGCGGTTCACCTTGAACTCGTACTTGAGCGCGTGGTAGACGTTGCGCGCGTCGGACATGCTCTTCTCCTGGCACAGCGTGCGGAGCAGCGCGTTGAAGAGTTGGCCCTCCTGGTCGTCCCCGCGGCCCCTCAACATCCGCGAGAGGCGGCGGAAGGAGTCGACGGTCTCGCGGACGGAGCAGACCTTGGCGACGCGGCCGAGGACGACCATGGCGGTGCGCGGCGTGACGGCGTCCGGGACGAGGCGGCGGGAGGATCGCAGCAGGTCCCACATGTGCGCGAACCGGCGCGCCCGGCCGAGCACGTAGAGCGCGGTGTCGAGCGCGAAGGGGGACGGGGCGACGCCGTGGCGGTCGAGCGCGAGGGAGAGGAGCGACAGCGCGCGGAGCGGGTCCCCGTGCGCGAACCGGAACCTCCGCAGCACGAGGTCGAGGAGCGGCGCGGAGATCGCGACGCCCGACGCGGACAGCGCGGACTCCATCGCCGACGGCGTGGGCGCCGCCGTGACCATCCGGTACACGGCGTCGGCATCCGCGTCGGACGCGACCACCTCTTCGCCGCCGCCGCCGCAGACCTCGGGCGCCGGCGCAGGCTCCCGCGCCGGCCTGCGCGGCTTGCTCACGTACTGGAACAGCCGCCGCTCTGGCTTGGGCGGCATTTTTTTTCCGATGGCGGCGGCGCTTCGCCGGCTGCAAACTGCAAAGGGTTTTGGGCGTCGTTGGCGCCGCCGCGAACGGCGTTGGCCAAAGGGGAAACGCGCTGCGGCTGGAGCGGGCCCATTGCAGGATCGCATATGGCCCATGACATCTGCGGGCTTTTCTGGTCCAGATATTGCACGGCCTCTTTCCAGTCTCGCTGCGGCCACAGCGTGGAATAAGTCCACTTTGAGTCCCTTAATATGAGTGCAATCTAGTTTTGTTGCGCAATACTCCTTCCGTCCCAAAATATAACTATTTAGGACTAGATGGTACATATTTTAGTACAACAAATCTGGACAACCACTTATCCATATTCATTGAACTAGGATGTATCCTATCCAATTTTAGGCTGCTATACTTTAGGATGGAGGTAGTACCGAGAGTATTATTTGTTAGCGTGACGTCCACGTGTCATCCTAGTTATTGAAAAAGAATAAAAATATCCTCTCTCTCTCTATGTGTTCCACACACTCTTTACTCTTTCTCACCCTGTCAACAGAGCTGACCGGTGGCGGCAGGGGATTGAAGGTTGAGGAGTGCACAGCAGCGGCAAAAGGGATCTGGGCGTCCTGCAGATAAGGGTGCAAGCAGCTACCCATAAAAATTCGCTTATAGGCTAAAACTAACTTGGGAACTCGTTTATTTCAATCTATAAGTGAGTTCGCGTGTGACCCACTTGCATCCCTGCAGATGCATCGCGCGGCTGCGGGTGCGTGCGTCTCGTCAACGGGTCCAGGGCTTCGGCCGCCGGTGCGTCGTGCAGATGCATCGCGGATTCGCGGCTGCGTGCGCAGCATGGGCGTCGCGCATGGAGCTGAACTCATTTTGTGGACGCTAGCAGCAGCCAAGGGGGAAAGCTCCCACACGAACAGTCTTCCGTTGCTGCCGGAAAAATTAACGAGAAGACGAGAAGGATAGCGTCCGGATTCCGATGTCTGTGTGTCTTGTCTGTCGAGTGATTCCAAACTGAGCAGCCAATTCCGTTGGTGTGTGTGGTTACTGACATTAGTGAGCATGTAGTAGAAGGGAATAGGATCGTACTAGTGCAGATAAACAGATGATGTTCTCTAGAGAAAAAGCTTCGATACAACAACTTGTTCCAATTTGGTTGCAGTGTCCACATTAGCAGCTGCAGGCATCCATCATGCGGTATGGACTTTCAGGCCGACTCCCCTATTGCGGTTGAAACGGAAGCCACTAGCCCACTTACTGTGTTTGTGATACTCTCAAGGCCCTATTGAATCACATGAACGAAAAAACATGGTAACAGAAAAAACAAAGAAATAGGATATGAATATATATGCAATACAAAAAATTGAAAAACACAAGAATTATGTAGGAATGAGTATTTGATTAGGAAAAAAAAGGAATGGATTTCAATTATTAGAATAAATTGGGTTGGTTATTTACTTATACACATCTAACATACACTAATTGAATAGAAAAATGGCCATGAGCTAATAGATTTACATCGAACCTACGCGAGATAGAAAAACATGAGCTTAGAGTGGATGTTAAATTTTTCACGTTTTTCCTCTAGATTCCTAGGAACATGAAAGTTCAATTTCATGTGTTTTTCCTTTCCTCGTTCCTACTAAACAAGAGCATGAATAGTGTAGGATTTCAATTCTTTTGTTTTTCTTCTATTTTTTCTCCAATTGAAAGTGGCCCTTAAAGTCTAGTGCTTAGATAGGCATGTATCACCCAGTTCAATTAGACATCATATCACCCGCTCAATTAGACATTGAAAGGCACATACTACTCCGTCATTAAAAAAACGAATTTTTAGATATGTGTTCAGATTCATAGGCGGGATTGGTTTTTTTGGACGGGGGTACAGATATACTAGCTCAATTCCCAAATATAAGTATTTATAATTGTGATGGTCTAGTTGCATAACTAGCAATGGTTAAAATAAACACTTGTTCAGTTTTATTGCTAATTAAGAATGCTTATATTTTAGAACGGAGGAGTATAGCTAGTTTAATCAAATGTTAATCATGACACTGTTTTTTTTTTGCTAATACAATAGATAAGCAATTGTACGTCAGTGTTAATCTGCATAGGCGATTAGTTATAATTACAATTGATGGTGACCCAGGGTGACCACATTAACACTTCCCAATTGAACTCTGTCAGCTGGAACTGCCGTGCCCGCATGGAGAGTATCTTTTGCTTAGCTATTTCTGCTAGTCGTATCCCACAAATAAATTATTCCCATCCCGAGAATATGGGTAACTCTCATATATATCAGCATGAACTCCAGTCCTTAACAACGAGTAATCACAACTGATTACACAGCGATGGTACTAGCCTATACATGATTGGTATATCCCAATCCGCCAATCGTCCTAAACCTGCGTGCCCAGAGCCAGACAGCGAACACATGTACAGTAGCGCACGCTGAAATTCCAGATATCTGTATTACATGGTCCAGCAACTCCAGATCAGCCGCATCACGATCCCGTATTCCCGTGGACCGTGTGGTCATACTCACTACTACCTCACATGGGTGTACGATCGGTCTACACATGACCAGCCGTCTTCAAGTGATTTGGCATTCACGAATCACGAGCCCGTGCAACAACAAAGCAGCATTCGTTTGGACGGTTTAACAGCGCCATCTACTAAAAGTACTCTATCCGTTAAAAAAAACAACCTAACAAAAAATGTGACCCATCATTTCTAGATTCGTTGTAAAAACAACCTAACAAAGAATGTAACCCATCATATCTAGATTCGTTGTATTAGGATAGAATCATATTTCCTCCTAAGTTAGCTTTTTTTTTTTGGATAAAGGGAGTAGTGGGTTAGCTTTTTTTTTTACTTAGGAGATCGGATCAGATAACGGCCACGAGTCAGGCCAAGGCCAGCGGCGAGGACGCTGCCTCGCCGGCGTGGCGCGTCCTTCCCCTTCCGCTACGGAGGCTGCCAGCTGGGCCCCACAGGAGACTGGTATCGCCACATATACACCACGTCAGAAGACAGTCCACCGAACTGAAGAAATTAAAAGGCCAAGCTCGCTAGTGCTCCAGAAAAAGTCTACTCCGGCCGGCTTAGTCGCGATCTTATCACGCTAACAGCGAATCAGCGATGCACAGGCCGGGAGATCATCTGAAAATTCCAAATACGGAGGATCTAACCGAAGCCCTGTGATGAAGTGCGGAACGGCAGCACGCTACTACCAACCGTGATGCGCACCTTCAATTTGGCACCTGGCAGTTGCAGGATTGGAGTACCATCTTCATCTTCTGGTGATATAAACCAGCGCAATTTGCCGTGATCTGATCGCGACGTTCGTCTCACGCAGTGAGAAGAATGACCGGATGAGAGATACGGAGTACTACCCTGATTGTCCCCGGCGGCTGTCGCCTGTCGCGCTCCCTCTGATTCCCGTTTGTTTAAGCGAAAAATTAGCGCGATCAGTAGTGCTAGTGGTACAGTAGTACTGGTGTACTGTGTACTAGTACATGCGAGAATCAACCGGCGCTTAAGGCCGAGTTTAGTTACAAACTTTTAACTTTTTTATCACATAAAAACTTTTCTACACATATAAACTTTCAACTTTTCTGTCACATCATTCTAATTTCAACCAAACTTTCAATTTTAACGTGAACTAAACACATAAATTGGAACCGGACGTACAAGTGGCATTGCAGTGTTGTGGCTTTGCTACCACTGGTGGAGAAACCATTTTTGGTCGGCCGACCAAAATCCACAATAGTCCCGATTCCACTAAAAATCATCTTTAATCCTGGTTGGTGGCTACAGTGGGCATATTTGATCTTTAGTCCCGGTTGGTGATCCTAACTTTAGTCCCGGTTGGTGTAACCGGGACTAAAAATTCTAACAACCGGTAAAACAAAGCCTCTATCCACGCGCGCGCATGAAAGTCTCCTATTAATTCCATCCTTATCCCCTCCTCTCCCATCCAGCCATCCTCTCCATCTTATCTTCTTCTCTCCTCCTTTCCTCCCATCCTTCTCTTCCTTCTTCTCTCACCCCATCTCCTCCTCCCCTCTCCTCCCCTCCAGCGGGGCGGCGGGATGGAGGCCGGCCACGGCGGCCCCGGACAGGGCGACGGGATGGAGGCCTCCGCGGCGGCCCGACGCGAGGCGACGAGATGGAGGCGGCGGCGGGCTGCATCGAGGGCGGCGGCGACCGGCGCCGGTCGAGAGGGGCGGTGGCCGGCTGCATCGGGCGCGGGGCGGCGAGATGGGGGCGACTGGCGCCGGTCGAGGTGGCGGTGGCCGGCGCCGGTCGAGAGGGCGGCAGCCGGCTGCGTCGGGGACAGCCGGCGCCGGTCGGGAGGGCGGCGGCGGCAGGCGGAGAACTTTTTTTTTCTTTTCTCTATGCTATCTGATGAATGCTGGAGATGTTGTAGATGTGAACTTTCTTTTTTCTTTCTCTATTCTCTGTGATGAATGCTCTCTTTGTTCTCTGTGATGAATGCTCATTGTTCTGAAGATGTTGTAGATCTGAACAAGTGTAAAGAATATGGATGTTTTGTTGTTTGATTTTATTCATTCGATCTATGATTTAGGCTCTGTTGTTGATTTTATTCATTTGATCCACGAGCGAAAGCTAAAGAACAATACAAAAGGAAAAAGGCCAACCGGATGAAAGGAAAAGAAAACAAACAAAACTTTTTTAGTCCCGGTTGGTAACAACAACCGGGACCATATTTTTAGTCCCGATTATTTGAATCGGGACTAAAGATTGCGATCTTTAGTCCGTCCCGGTTGAAAAACCGAGACTACAAAGGGTTACCAACCGGGACTATAGAGCTATTCTCCACCATTGTACTGTGATGCCCACGCTCGCGGCTTCCACTCTCCCTCGCACGAGCGGGCGTCGTGGCGACGGGACGCGCCACGCGCGACGCCGTCGTCGCTGTCCAGGGACCATGGCCGATGCGACGGGCGACGCCGCCGTGTTCAGTTTTTGCACGGGATCTGCAACAGACGAGCCGTACGTCTCGGCTGAAGAGGCTTCGACACGGCCAGGAGGCGTCACACGTTATGCGAGACACACACGGGTACTCTCGCGTTCAGTGGCG